AAACATCACATAAAAAAAATAAGTAGATCTGAACTTAAGTCAGATTGATGAAGATTTTCTCTGAAATTATAAACTTAACAGTTATCTATATTAAAGTTCAGTGCTTGGTAACCCTGAAATTCAAACAAAAGTCTTCAACAGCATCCTTGAGATGAGGATTCACTTTTGGTTTTTAAACTTTAATTTCAAGGTCATGACCTTCTGAAATTCAATTCTCTTTTATTTTGTAATAAACTTTATAATGACAGAGTTATGGCCCTTGAATTGTTATGCTAATGACAGTTATTACTTTTAACTGTTATGCTTTAGAATATTTATGGCCTTTGACTTGTTATGCTAAAGAAAGAGTTATGTCCCTTTACTTATTATGCTTAAAATGAGTTTTTAAGCTTATGAAAGAGTTTAGCTGCAAAAGAAGAGTTATAGATTTTGACTTGTTATGTGATCAAAGAGTTATGACCTTTAATTTGTTATGTGAAAGAAAGAGATATGGCCTTTAATTTGTTATGCTAAAAATTAGTTGTGGCCTTTGATTTGTTATGCTAAAGAAAGAGTTATGACCTTTGACTTGATATGCTAAAGAAGAGTTTATGCCCTTAAACTATTAAGCTAAAGAAAACATATGACATTTCAATTATTATGCTAAAGAATGTCCCTCGACTTGCTATGTTAAAGAGTTATGACCCTAGATTTACTATGCTAAAATAAAAGTTATTACCTTTGATATGTTATGCTTTAGAAAGAGTTATGACCTTGATTTGTTAATTTGTTATGCTAAAAGTGAGTTAAGGCCTTTTTTACTTGTTATTCGAGAAAAAGAACTATAGCCATAGACTCTTTATGCAAAAGAATAATAGGTAATGGCCCTTGAATTATCATGCATGAGAAAGAGTTATGGCTTTTGAAATTATTATGCAAAAAAGGTTCATTTCTGAATATTATCAGTTTACTTGTGATCATTATCAGTTTCATTGTGAATATTATCAGTTTCATTTGTGAATATTATCAGTATATTTGTAAATATTATCAGTACATTTGTGAATATTATCAGTTTGATTTGTGATAATATCTCAAATTATTTTTTATTATTATTATTATTATGATGGTTATTATGATTATTATTGTTGTTATTATTATTATTATCATCATTATTATGATGATGAAGATGATGATGATTATTATTATTATTAGCTCACCTGTCACAAAGTGACTGGGTGAGCTTTTGTGATCGCTTTTCGTCTGTCGTCCGTCCGTCCGTAAACTTTTGCTTTAAATGACATCTCCTCATAAACCACTAAGCCAATTTCATCCATACTTCACAGGAATGTTCCTTTGGTGGTCACCTTTAAAAATTGTTCAAAGAATTTAATTCCATGCAGAACTCTGGTTGCCATGGCAACCGAAAGAAAAATTTTTAAATATCTTCTTTTAAACAACCCTAAGAGCTAGAGCTTAGATATTTGGCATGAAACATCTTCTAGTGAGTGTCTACCAAGTTTGTTCAAATAAAATTGGCCCCGCCCCAGGGGGTCATTGATTTTTCCCTATATGCATATAGTAAAAACTTTAAAAATCTTCTTTTAAAGAACCCAAAGAGCTAGAGCTTAGATATTTGGCATGAAACATCTTCTAGTGAGTGTCTACCAAGTTTGTTCAAATAAAAGCCCTGGGGTCAAAATTGGCCCCGCCCCAGGGGGTCATTGATTTTCCCTATATGCATATAGTAAAAACTTAAAAAATCTTCTTTTAAAGAACCCAAAGAGCTAGAGCAAAGATATTTGGCATGAAACATCTTCTAGTGAGTGTCTACCAAGTTTGTTCAAATAAAAGCCCTGGGGTCAAAATTGGCCCCGCCCCAGGGGGTCATTGATTTTCCCTATATGCATATAGTAAAAACTTAAAAATCTTCTTTTAAAGAACTCAAAGAGCTAGAGCTAAGATATTTGGCATGAAACATCTTCTAGTGAGTGTCTACCAAGTTTGTTCAAATAAAAGCCCCGGGGTCAAAATTAGCCCCGCCCCGGGGGTCATTGATTTTCCTTATATGTGTATAGCAAAAACTTAAAAATCTTTGAAAAAACCCAAATAGCTAGAGTTTAGGTATTTAGCATGAAACATCTTTTATTAAATATCTACAAAGTTTGTTCAAATAAAAGCCCTGGGGTCAAAACTGGCCCTGCCCCAGGGGTGTCATTGTTTTTAACTATATGTGTATAGTAAAAACTTAAAAAATCTTCTTTTAAAAAACCCAATGAGCTAGAACTTAGATGTTTAGCATGAAACATCTTATGTGTGTCTACCAAGTCTGTTCAAATAAACAAATAAATTAAGCCCTTGGGTTAAGGGGGGGGCTATATACAGGTGAGCGACCTCAGGGCCATCATGGCCCTCTTGTTATTTTTATTATTATTATAATTATTAATATTATTATTATTATTATGTAATTAGATTAGTGAAAAAAGAACCATGTAGCTTTAATTAAGTAATTGGGTAGCTTAATTGCAAGTAGGAACTGAAATTAGTTATGTATTATGAGATTCGAAATGTAAGGAAAAAAAATATGAAAGGAATGGTACTACATGTACATTAGTTAGAGTTTATTTCAGAATACATCCCAGCAGTATACCCCACACTGGTGGCAGTATCAGTGTTTGGACACCTCACCCCACCCTGTCCCTGGACCCCTATTACAACCCTGAAAAAAATAATACAACACTTTAAGGGTTACTATAAGATACCAAATACAAAACAACCCATAAGAATTATTATAAAAAAAAAAAATCACTATCAAAATTATGGTAATAGATCCACCTGTCTATTGCCACAATTTTGATTGTGGAATTTTTTTTTTTATATAATTTTATTGGTGATTTTGTATTTGGTATCTTGAAGTAAGCCTAATAGAGTGTTGAATTATTTTTTTTCAGGGTTGTAATAGTTGTAATAGGGGTCCAGGGGCAGGGTGGGGTGGAATGTCCAAACACTGATATTGCCACATACCTGTGGTATGCCCATGCATGCACATTACGTATAAAAAAATGATCATATAATATAGTCAAATAGTCAATGTCAAAACTTTATATTAAGTTACACAACAATTTTTTGGCAATAAGAAAATGTTAACTATGAATTCCAACATTTAATGACACAAAAAATCAACATGTCTCCAGTTAGCATGATATAAGATAAGTATTTTTAAGTTTTACTTTACATTGATGGAGCAAACTTGCTTGATACGACTCATTGATTGATTGATTGATATTTAATCATTGTTTTTTAAATACTAGTAATTGAATTTGTTTTAAATTGAAATAATATTTGTATATTTATGTACTGATTAAATACTAAATTTGTAGAATTCGTTTAATAAAACAATTATATGTTCACCAGAGGCTCACATGATATGATTTTATTTAATTTTTTTTATATCTTATTTCAATGAAGAGAAAACTTAAAAAAACTAGAACTGCCACTATCATGGCGTGAATACCCCCGCATACCACTTTGTCAGAATCAACAGTGGCCATTTAGAGCTCAAGGACAACCTCCCTGCCAAATCTGAGGTTACTAAGCCAGTGCATTGCTAAGTTATGTATTCTTCATGCTTCAAATGTGAAAATGTCAAAATCAATACATTGCGGACAGGACATTCTTTAGCAATTGAGAAGAAAAGCTTCTTTTTTTTGTCAAGGTCCCTGTGACCTTGACCTTTGACCCAGTGACCTCAAAATCAATAGGGGACACCTTATCGTCATGATCAACATCCATGCCAAATATGAAGACTGTGGGTCAAAGGAATCTTAAGTTAATGGGTGGACAAACTTTTTGAAGTCAAAGTCCCTATGACCTTGACCTTAGATCCAGTGACCTCAAAAACAATAGGGGTCATCTACTAATCATGACCAGTCTCCATGCCAAATATGAAGACTGTGGGTCAAAGGAATCTTAAGTTATAGGGCGGACAAGCTTTTTGAAGTCAAGGCCCCTGTGATCTTGACCTTTGACCTGGTGACCTCAAAGTCAATAGGGGTCATCTACTAATCATGACTAACCTCCATGCCAAATATGAAGACTATGGGTCAAAGGAATCTTAAGTTATTGGGCGGACAAGCTTTTTGAAGTCAAGGCCCCTGTGACCTTGACCTTTGACCTGGTGACCTCAAAATCAATAGGGGTCATCTACTTATCATGACTAGCCTCCATGCCAAATATGAAGACTGTGGGTCAAAGGAATCTTAAGTTATTGGGCGGACAAGCTTTTTGAAGTCAAGGCCCCTGTTACCTTGACCTTTGACCTGGTGACCTCAAAATCAATAGGGGTCATCTACTAATCATGATTAATCTCCATGCCAAATATGAAGACTGTGGGTCAAAGGAATCTTAAGTTATTGGGCGGACAAGCTTTTTGAAGTCAAGGCCCCTGTGACCTTGACCTTTGACCTGGTGACCTCAAAATCAATAGGGGTCAGCTACTAATCATGACTAACCTCCATGCCAAATATGACAACTGTAGGTCAAAGGAATCTTAAGTTATTGGTCGGACAAGCTTTTTGAAGTCAAGGCCCCTGTGACCTTGACCTTTGACCTGGTGACCTCAAAATCAATAGGGGTCATCTACTAATCATGACTAACCTCCATGCCAAATATGAAGACTGTAGGTCAAAGGAATCTTAAGTTATTGGGTGGACAAGCTTTTTGAAGTCAAGGCCCCTGTGACCTTGACCTTTGACCTAGTGACCTCAAAATCAATAGGGGTCATCTACTAATCATGACTAACCTCCATGCCAAATATGAAGACTAAGGGTCAAAGGAATCTTAAGTTATTGGGCGGACAAGAAAAAAACCGACGGACGGACAGCCGGACGGACGGACAAGCTGATTCCAGTATACCCCCCTTACAACTTTGTTGTGCGGGGGTATAAAAATACTTAAATTAGTATCATTACAATCATGTTTTAAGTAAAATTTATTATATCATGTTTGTTTGTGTATGTTAACAGAAGTCCAAGGAGTACACCAGTTATACAAGACGAGGGCACAGATGCGGAGACACGTAGACAGATTGCGAGAGAGTCGGACAAAATACGACGTGAGATGGAACGTGAACGTAGAGCAAAGTCAATGTCGCCAGGACGTGAACGCTCTCCAACACGCACATATCTTACCCTCACACAGTCACCAAAGGTTTGTTTGTGTGAAAACTTATGTTTTTCTTGCATATCAGAGTAGTGTTTCCATTAGTTTTACCTATGCTGGAAATTTCATCTTAAGCATGGGGTGTGTGCTAGATCAGAGTCGCGTGTTGTACAATAGCATGCTTAGGATAACATAATAATGAAGTTGTAATTTCATACCCTAGTGTAAATAGTTACTCAGGTGTAATGACATAAATTTACATGCTAAATTGTTTAATTAAGGTAAAGAGTTTAAAATATAATAGAATTTGGTAGAATACGCAAGAAAAAATATCTGACATATGTTTGCCATTACCTCATTTCCGCCAAATGGACTGGTCCCCATGTGATGGATATTTCAATTGGAATGCAACATATGACAGATATCATTATTTATTAATATAGTAAATGGTGTTAAGTTATCCGATATTTTTTTGCAAAATTTAGAATCTCATCTTTTTGTTTTTTAATTATTTCAGAAGCAAAGAGTTCTCCATAAGTATTATTTATGTATATCATTCTTATTGTTGGGGCGTGCATGGCAATTGGCAGAGTGGTTTAGGTCTTTGACTTCAAACCACTTGCCCCTCACCGCTGTGGGTTCGCATCCCGACAGGGACTTTGGATTCTCAGGAAGCTATCCAGCTAGCTTACGGAACTTCGGTGGTTCTACTCAGGTGCCCATTTGTCGAAAATAATGAACGGAAGGGCATCTGAGGTCTTCCTCCACCAGTAATTCTGGAATGTCGCCATATGACTTATACTGTGTTGATGCGACATAAAACCTAATCAAACAAACAAGCAAATTCATATTGTTATAAAAGAGGTAAAGCAGTTGTTTTTTTTAAAGCTAAAACTACTGTATTAAGAGGGGGAAAAATAAACAAAGTGGATTCTTTTAAAAAATTTCTAAAAAGATTTTAAATATTAGGACAGGGAAAAGCAGAATGCATAAGTTTTCCATATATTTTCATTATTAATATGAATTCATGTTTAAAAGGACACTATCTTTTCCTCTAGACTTTATATGACAAAGGGGACAGACCAAACATAAATGGTGGTGTTGGTGGTGGTAAAAGTCTGTCAGATGAAGAAAAGGTAAATTGTTTTTCTTATCTAGTAGAGCCTTGTGTTCAGCTGTCTTTCTTTTACCTAAGCATAAAGGTCATAGTTGTTTTGCTTGCAAGCTTTTTAAATCTGTAATTTTCATTTATCGTAGTAGGAATCTGCTTGAAATTCAACATTATTCACAAGTCATGCGGATCTTTACTATATTTCTATTCCCAAGAAAAACTATTCTGCAATGAATCTTTACTGAATTAAAATCTTTACTGAATTTTGAAATTTTTATAAGCAAGTCCCGGCCCTCTCAACAACAGCTCATGGTATTCACTGAAGATTCAACATTTGTCCTAAGGGCCATAATTGTAGGTCACTAACAAGTACACAGACATTCACATAAAGTTTTATAGACAAATACCAAGTTTTGACCTTACCCATTACCCTACTAGGACCAAATGTTGTTATCCTTTGTCACCACTTTATAGCCAAGTCAGCCTGCACATATCCGCCAGTCTAACCAGGGTCTATACTGTTGGTAGCTTAGTTTTTGTATTTTGATATTGAAATCCCTTAACCTTTGTATGGACAGTGTTCTAAATTCAGCACGAGCCTAGTACGTAACCAAGAATTGTGATTTTTTTGTTAAATTTAAAATATAAGCAGACTGTAAACATATGACATAGACGGGTAATTATGGCAGCTGTCATATATACAAAGAATTAACCCTTTGACCTGCTGTTTTTGTATAATGGATTAGCCCAGCTTTGAATTCGGAACAGTACATTCAATGTTTAAGGGTGTTCAATGTAAACTAAAAATGTACTAAAAATTGTCACCAAACAATATATATAAAGCCTGGTCAGGCTGCCCTGATGTACAGGCCAGCCTTGATCAAAGGCAATTTTTTTCCTGTTCTTGCAGAATAAGAGTTAATAGATATTACTGTTCTTTATTGAATTTTCATTCCATTAATGAGTATTAAGTTAAGGTGCACTAGTTTAAAATAACAAACTTCATTGAATGACAATACTGATTTCCATAGCAACCTATTGTAATTACTTTTATCTTGTTGAAAGGAATATTGAATTCTGTAATGGTAAGTTGCTTCAACTTAGTTCAACAAAATGAATGAATGATCAGCTGTAGTACTGCCAAGTTTGCTCAATATTTAAAGAAAGGAAAATTGACATGACATTATGTAAATGAATGCAGTCACAATTATCTAAATTATCTTAAACATGAAATTATGCAAATAAATGCAGTCACAATTATCTAAAACATGACATTATGTAAGTGAATGTAGTCACAATTATCTTAAATATGACATTATGTAAATGAATGCAGTCACAATTATCTAAAACATGACATTATGTAAATGAATGCAGTCAGAATTTTCTAAAACATTACATTATGTAAATGAATGCAGTCAGAATTATCTAAAACATGACATTATGTAAGTGAATGTAGTCAGAATTATCTAAAACATGACATTATGTAAGTGAATGTAGTCACAATTATCTTAAATATGACATTATGTAAATGAATGCAGTCACAATTATCTAAAACATGACATTATGTACGTGAATGCAGTCACAATCATGTCAGATATAACTTCAAGTAAAATATTCCATATGGTAAACGGACAAAAGCCCTCCGGACAAAAGCCCTCCCGTCAAAAAATGACAAGGCGGACAAAAGCCCTGCCATGAAAATGACAAGGCGGACAAGAGCCCTCCCGTGAAAATGACAGGGCGGACAAAAGCCCTCCCATTAAAATGACTGGGCGGACAAAAGCCCTCACGTGAAATTGACAAGGCGGACAAAAGCCCTCCCGTAACAAAAATAAATATGTATGTTGAATACCTGTGTTTTTTCAATGCACTCGACATTTAATTGAAATTATTACATAATTATATATTTGTTGCTGTTTTCAATTGGCCTAAGTATTTATATGAGCTAGAGCCACCTTTTAATCTGAATATACCTTCCAGAAATGTTTAACATGGTAACTTTTTACACAAATGCCGTTAAAAACAAAGTAAATTTTAACAGTAATTGACTCATGACAAGGCACATTATATATGTCTTTAACTTTCAAGTTAGATCATTTTAACTTCTTTTCATCATTTATTCTCTATTAATCTTAACTTTACATTATCATTCATATCTTCGTGAGGAGCAATCGTTCATATCTTCGTGATTGAATATGCACTAACAGAGTTTAGCACTAATTATTCAGATGCCAGTCAGGAATGCGCTGAAGCTCATGCAAACACGCTTACGCCAATGGAAAACAAAAATATCCATGATTACAAATTTAATATGTTGAGTGCATTGAAATGAAAATATTAACTATTCAACTTACATATATGTATTTGCTGCGGGATGGCTTTTGTCCGCCCTATTATTTTCACAGGAGGGCTTTTGTCCGCCAAGTCATTTTTACAGGGGGAGGGCTTATGTCCACCCTGTTATTTTTACGGGAGGGCTTTTGTCCACCTTGTCACTTTTTGACGGGAGGGCTTTTGACAGGGAGGGCTTTTGTCCTACACTTAATTCATATATCAGCTGATGAAATCGAGTAAATAAAAACAGTCACAATTTTGCAGACATTATCAAATCCGATAGCAATTTATATTGTACTCTCCCCCAAAACATTTTTTCATTGTATGTCTTGGAATTGGGACATTGAAATGCATACTCAAGGTGCAAAGAACTTTGAGCATATTGTTCGATAATTTTGCACTGTTCTCATCTAGAATGCTCACACAAAATAAAGTTAATTGGGATAATTATGTTGAAGAATATCTGTGAGAGATGTTATTCACCTGACATCATAAAGTTAATTGACTTTATATCTGACATCATATGACACATTATAATTTGTTTTTACATCATACATATATCCTTTATTTCAAATCTTAGTCTATGTTTAATTTAGTGCTATTTATTCTCAATAAGATTAAAATTGCATTGATAAAATTTTCCAAAATGCTCAACAATGTTCCACAACATGTTCAACAATATTCCACCATGTTCTAAAATGCTCCATCATGTTCAACAATATTCCACCATGCTCCACAATGCTCCACCATGTTCCACAATGCTTAAGACTGTTCCACAATGCTCATCAATGTTCCACAATGCTAAACAAGGTTCGATAAGGCTATGAAAGGCCTAATAATGAGTTGTGTAAACAATCAATGTTCTTATTATAATTATACTCATCCCTTGAGTTTTTAATGTCTTTTTCTTTCTTACGCATTTTTGACAATAAATTAAAATTTTTGAGATGTTTATTACTAACATATATTACATGTACATCAATTCATGAAATATGTATAATTAATGTAATTAACATTTCCTATATGTCTGCTTAAAATTTTAATGATGAACTGAAATGAAATGATTAATATTTTGTGTGAAGCAGACAAACTTTATGAAACTGCATTTTCTGTTGAACTTGGTTAAAATGTTTGACACATGCATGACTGAACATTACAAAATATTCAATAATAAAGTTGTCAATTATAAAAAATTGAATTTATTATATACGCTTTTTCCATATTTTCACTGTAAAGATATATTTTTAACTGCAGTGAAACATAATTTCTGTATTTTCACTTGCGTCTTGCCAGACTACTTTCTTCTTAATTCAGCCAATACTTAAACTTAAGAAAAATCTATATAATAAACAGAAAATTCAAGTTGTTTTTTTAGATACAGGTCTGGATTTATTTTCATCATGTGTTATGGCAATTATCATGTTTTACTTATGGCTACTGCCACTCTTGAAATATTATTTTCATACCACTCGATGAAAATAAATCCTGTATTTATAGAAAAACTTAAATATCCTCTATATACAATGTATTTACAATTGTTTCAGGAAAGGTCAGCTGAGTTGAAAGCCACACAGAGTGCCCTTGAAGTGACACAGAGTGCCCTCGTTGAGGCCCGGAAAAATTTAAAGGAGGTGCAAGCCCAGTTTGAGGATGTCAGGTATAGTTGAACTTTGTTTGTTTGAAAAGGTTTTACATCATACCGACACAGTTTAGGTCATAATTGGTGACTTTCCAGCTTAACTGGTGAAGGAAAACCTCAGGTTCCCTTCGGCATGAATGGACACCCTGAGTAGAACCAACAACATTTTGTAAGCTAGCTGGATAGCTTCCTCACATGAAAAAATCCAAAGTCCCAGTCAGGATTTAAACCCAAAGAGGTAAGGGGCAAGTGGTAGTTAAACTTTGAGCCAAAAGTTTCTTCTACATAAAAAGTATATAAATTTGTGTTACTATTTTGAGAGTAAACATTTTGTGTTTGACTATGAAAAGATAGGAGGAAAATAAGGTTCTGACCTCAGTCTAGGCATTGACACTTGGTCCAGGAGTCACATAATGACCTTTACTATGTTGATTGGACGTTAAACCTAATCCAACACAAAGATTGGGAATAACTGCAGCTCACTTTAATGTAAGACCCATAACCATAACATGATATTTTGATTGTATTAAACACCTTGTGGAATTCCTGGTTCAGGTTTTACATGCTAAGTCTACTCCAAAACCACTAAAGGTATTCATTTTTAACATGACGCATGTTGTTTAAGTCATTATTATCACCCATACTTATAGTAAGCCTATGGAAAATGCTGAATTATTTCCCTTTGGTAACTTAAAAGCTTTCTTTGTTTAAAAGAAAGCACTGAAAAATGATGCCCCTTTGACAGCTTAGGTTCATAGTCCAAACCTGTCCAATCTAATATTATTAATATAGGAAAAGCCAGGTGTTCCATAAAACTTGCATACCTAGAGCTCATCGGGAGCTTGACTTTTTAGCTCACCTGTTACTAAGTGACATGGTGAGCTTTTGTGATCACTTTTCGTCCGGTGTCCATCCGTAGTCCGTCTGTCCGTAAACTTTTACTCCACAGGAATGTTCCTTAGGTAGTCAGTTTTAAAAATGTTCAAAGAATTTATTTCCAAGTAGAACTCTGGTTGCCATGGCAACCAAAAGTAAAAACTTAAAATATCTTCTATCAGAAAACTGTAAGAGCTAAAGCTTAAATATTTGGCATGAAACATCACCCTGAGGTTGAAATTGGCCCCGCCCCGGGGGTCATTGATTTTCCTTATTTGTAAAAAGATAAAAAACTTTTAAAAAAAACTCTTTTAAAAACACCAAAGAGCTAGAGCTAAGATATTTAGCATGAAACATCTTCTAATGGGTGTCTACCACGTTTGTTCAAATAAAAGCCCTGGGGTAAAAATTGGCCCAGCCCCATGGGTCATTGATTTTCCTTATTTGTATATAGTAAAAAATTAAAAAATCTTCTTTTAAAAACCCCAAAGAGCTAGAGCTAAGATATTTAGCATAAACATCTTCTAATGGGTGTCTTCCAAGTTTGTTCAAATAAGGGCCCTTGGGTTAATATTGGCCCTGCCCCAGGGGTCATTGATTTTCCGTATATGTGTATACTAAAAACTTACAAAATCTTCTTATTAAAAACCCAATGGGCGATAGTTTAGAGACTAAGCATGAAATATCATATAGTGAGTGTCTACCAAGTTTGTTCAAATAAAAGCCCTGGGGTCAAAATTGGCCCCTCTGAGGGGGGTGGAGTGTCATTGTTTTTCAATATATGTATATAGTAAAAACTTTAAAGCTCTTCTTTTATAAACCCCAAAGAGCTAGAGCTAAGATATTTATTATGAAACATCATCTAATGGGTGTCTACCAAGTTTGTTCAAATAAAATCCCCTGGTTTAAAATTGACCTTGGCCCAGGGGCCTATATACAGGTGAGCGATTTCAAGGCCATTATGGCCCTCTTGTTTGTATTGTATATTAATTTTTTGTGGTTTCTTATTAATAATATTGATAGTAAGTATCTAATTTACAACTTTTATATCACAAGTGAGACCCAGCAAAACTTTTCATTATAAATGAGCATGCGTTTATTTTAGTTTGGTTTAAGTTGTATTCATAAACACTGAAAGTCTGAGATTTGAAAAGCTGAAAATTCTTTATACCTTGCAGACATGTATATAATTGTAGATGTTGTACAATAAAATAATGTTAAGTTGATTTTCAATAAAACCATACTAAAGATTATTTTTAGCTCACCAAAACCGAAGGTTCAGGGTGAGCTATTAGTATCAAAAGGGGATGCTCCGGCGTCCGGCGTCATGTGTCAACAATCGTCTTTTTCTCTGAAACTGCTGGGCAGATTTACTTCAAATTTGAGTCTGTAGCATCCTTGTGACAGTTACACTTGAATTTGCTCATGTCATTTCAATTGGTCCCTTTTAGGGGTCAACAGAGCTAAAAATATAAAAACCTTTAAATATCTTCTACTTCAGAACTAATTGATGGATGATCACCAAACTTTGTCTGTAGCATTCTTGGGCAGTCTTTTACCAAGTTTCCTCATATTAATTTGATTGGCCCCTTTTAGGGGTCTCTAGAGCTACAAACATGGGTGTAAGGATGGGCTAAATGTTACCATTACACTATAGGCGCGTCAATGATTTAGATGAAATTTTTGCACTTCAAAAGTCTTTATTTTGGGTATGACTGATAATAGAATATTATATTTGTGCTGGTTCATTATTGAGTTTAATGAACTTGTTGAATAAAACAATACTTTGCTTACCAGAGGCTCACTGAATATAATTTTATTCAATTTTTTCAACAAATTCAGTATTTATTATTTATATTCCCTGTTTCTTCAACAGAACGCAGGTGATGTTATCTGAATATAAGAAAGAGAACTCCTCCAAACAACTTGCCCGTATATCAAATGATCTACAGAGGAAACAGGCCGAGGCTCAGAACCTCGACACGCAAACAAAGAGCAGAATGGAGGAGCTTAAACAGTTTGATGCCATAGGTTTCACCAAAGATGAGGTCAGTAATTTATATAACACAGCCAATGTTAACCTTAAGGTAGTCTTACTGTAATACTTTCCACCAAAAAATTCTAACATCAGCCAATATCGTAACAAATCATTTGTTTCCGGAATGCTCTTTTTTCAAAATCTTGCACATTAGAATATTCACAATCACTCATCCTTTATTGCTATGTAATAAATTTCAGTTATAACTGGTAAAAAAATTATTAAATACCGAAGATTGTGAAAAATAATGTTACGTAACTGACCGATTTATTACAATATTGGGGGCGTCCATGGCCTAGTGATTATTGTTGTTGACTTCAAACCACTTGCCCCTCACCGCTGTGGGTTCGAATCCCGACTGGGACTTTGCATTCTATCATGTGAGGAAGCTATCTCGACTTGAATGGGGTCCTGTTTTAACACCTTAAACAGAATCGCTTGTGTTGCTTTTCTATTTGAGAACTAATAGTAACCATACACTAACAATTAGATTTTGCCCTGAGATTATGACTAAAATCTAGATTTATAACTTTTAAGATTTAAAGTCGTTTTAAAATAGAGCTATTCCAAAGGACACGATCTAGAAAGGATTGGTTTGAATCTTTAAGAATAGTCATAATAATCTTTTTTACTAAGTGTTTACCCAACGATAAGTTAATATGAGCCCAGTTTAAGACATGAGATTCCTAATTGTCCATGTAGATAAATTAATGCTGAGCTTTACATTAATCTCTATGTAATAAGTTTGCAAATGCTTCTAATTTAAGAGAAAGTTACATTCCTATTGCACATAGATAACAATAATATCTAGAAACGTCATACGATCAAGAGTGAGGCAATAACAGTTTACACTCGAAAATAGTACAAATAATTACTCATAAAATAAAATATTTTGTAAACAGAAATGATGATCTAGATCTATAGCGATAAAATCATTAAAACTTTCTCAGATTTTCTCAATTTTATTTGTTACCTTCGGAACTCTTTTGTACGCAAGTGCGTATTGTGGGCACTACGCCCTTGAAAGAATAATAAAATGTTATTTAAAATTTAACATTTTCAACCCTACAAAACATTGTTGGCATAAAATTTTCTTTTCTTGCAAGAGACAGATAGTCATTTCCACATTAAAATTATGTACTTGTAGTGTTTTTTTTTCTTTTAAAACCTCCTCCGTGGTCGAGGGGTTAGAGTCGATGACTTCTAATCCAGTTATCTCTCTGGCATGGGTTCGATCCCCGGGAGATGCTTTGGTAGTTTAGCGTGGAGGAAGGTAGTCTAGTACTGGTGTAACTCTCCAGGAACGATGGTTAGGAAACTACCCGCCTATATGACTGAAATACTGTTGAGAAAAGGCGTAAACTGAAGCAAACAAACAAAACAAACAAAGAAAGAGAAAAGCTAAGAAAAGTAATATTTTTCATAAAATTTAATCATTTTTTTGTGTTTACATGAAACGATGAATATAAACAAAAAAATATGTCTTACAAAACGACAATCATCTTATTGACATTTTCATTATGATAATGTACAAAACTGGATATGTAATATTTAATTTACATTGATATGTTCTGCATTTTTCATCCATTTCTTTAATCACATGTACATCTTCTTGTGCTATTAGAGTAGAACCTTTCTACAACAGCCAGCAGCCAGACAGTTTGTTGATTGTTGTAGGGGGGTGGCTGTTGCTCAGAGGGTTTGTGTTATGAGTGAAACTTTTATTAGTTTTACTTTTACTGTAATTGAATTAGTTAGAATCTAGAAACATAAACTGGGAATACAGGATATATTATAGTGGTTATCATCTGTATAATAATTTGTAATTATAGGTATTCATTACTATTTATTAAGTTTGATATAAGATAAGATAAACTTAACTTAAAATATGCCTTATGTCTTTTTACACCTTAACAAATAGATACCGGCACATGTAATCAACAGTATGATCATATCTTGAAAATATTACATTAAATATGAAATTAGGCATAAATATTAAAATAGATTACATACACACTCTCATTCATACATAACAATATTACAAATGTATTTAAATTTACATTTCCTTTTTATCATTTTATAATTCTACTCTTCTTTTAACATAAAAACTGGGGTCAAGTATTTTGTTGGTTGCATTACATCTTACTCAGTTTATTTATGAGCAATAAAATGATCTTTTATATCATGTAAATTCTAAAAAATGATCAATGAAGCATATCTTCAAATGATTCATTTTTAGGATGAAAATATAAAAAATGAAAATAATTTTGTCTCAAAATTTGCAGATTTGTTATGTTCGCATTTTTAGTATGTTGTATTTTGAGCAAACATCTGTTTCTATTCTACTATAATTTTGCACAATTTCACAATAGATAGATTAATAAACATTTTTTTATTTTGTTAAAAAATTGTACATGTATATCAGTGGATCCATAGATTAACAAAACTAATGTGATATGTGATATAATGTTACAATAATTTCAAAAGGTAAATTTTGAATGAATGAGGATGATCTCATGTGTTTATCTCATTGTTAGTGTCATGTCATATCTTGTCATGTCTTTTACATCATTTTATATAATTTGATATAATTGTTATCACTGTCATCGTAGCTATTATAAAATCTGCTTACACAAAGTGTACTACTTTCAGCACACCAACATACAGCATAAGGTCTATCTAAATTCTCCAGTATAATTTTACTGTCTTTACAGTCACCACTTACTCTATGTATACAATGACTCCTGTAACTATTCACTAAAAGAGACCCATCACCTAACAGTGTTAAACCCTTTGGTTCTTTAATTCCTACTGATCCTATCATCTCTCCCTGCCAGTTAAATCGTAGAACTACATGTTTGATACCATCAGATACATAGATTGAATGACTGTTTGTTGTGACATGCGAAGGATAACTGAATATATTGCCACCATTGGAATCTTTATCAACAGTAATTTCAGTATTACCTTTCAAATCCATGATTTGTAATTTAGCAGGTCTTACAAATGTGACTGCAAGTTTTCCCTGATGATGACTGATACCATGACACTGTCCATCTACCTTCAGTTTGTTCTTTAGTGAGAGCGAGTCTGGGGAGAATGAAATGAGCTGTATTTTTTTAATGCGTGGTAAAGTAACAGCAAGTAAATCACTGGAGACAATGGTGATAACCCATGGTGCTGAGTCAAGTTGTAATTGTTTGATAGCTCCACTATTAATGTCTATCATTTTAATAGACTTAATCAAGTAATCTGCTGCAAATATTTGATTTTGAGGTGAAACATCTATACCAGTAATCCAACAATTATTTTTATCTGATGATGATTTAGCATTGATTTTTCTAGGGGTAGACAATTTCATTGCTATTGCACCTTGATTCTTTTGTTCAGCTGGCTGTTTCTTATTCTTACTACTCAATGTTCCTAATGATTTCTGATCTTGAAAGAATTTCTTGAAATCTTGATTTGGTTCAAAAATGTACTCATCAAAGTCATTGATTGTTGGTAGTTGAGATATTATTTTGTTATTATTATTTTGAATCAGTTGTTGAACTCTCTTAAGTTCAGTAAACAATTGGTCAGTTTTCTTGTTTACATTGAGATGTTTTAGAGTATCAGCTGATGCTTGAAGGGACTTGTTGATGTCATCACATGTTGTTTCTGTTGTTTTCAACTTTTTGTTGTTGTCATGTTGGATTGTTGTAGCAGTATCTTTAACCTCCTTTTCTACTTCATCTAATCTCTTGTTTATCTCCTTTCTAAACCTGTCAATTTCTGCTACAGCATCTGTAAGAGAAGTTGTTGATTTAGCAACTCTTTGTTTCAGGTCACTTGCAATCTTGGAGCATTTGTTTGTCAATTTATCAATATCTTTCAGAGTTTCCTTGAACTCGATGCTGTCTAGAATCTGTCCTGATATATCAGGTATATAGTCCATATGGCAGGATGTTGTTGGGTGTTCAAGGGTCACACATACGCTACATATAAGAGCATTATGGTCATGACAGTAGAATTTGATCACTTCTTTGCTGTGTTTAGTACAAGGCTTTGTAAAATCACCAGTCTGTGGACTGGAAGTAGATTTTGATGATCCATGGAGTTTTTGTTGTTGTGGCATGTGATCTTTATCTAAAAGTTGGTGATGGCGTAGTGGTTTTGGTCGTCTGTGAGTGTTGAAACAAGATTGACATAAGTGTTCCTCACAATCTACACAGTAACCAAAGGCAGGAAGCCTGATATCAGCTCTGTCACATATTTCACAATAAATGTCAAAATCTTCAGCACCACCTTGAGATAGTGTAGATGAGAATTTCTGAGATGCCTTTTTACCAGGAACAGCCATTATTCACCTGGAATACACAAATTGCATACAATTATTTATGACCAGCAGTGAATTTGCCAGAAGAAATTTAACATTGAGTGATATTGCCCAATATAATATGTTACCACCTGATCTAAGCTTTCATGTAAACTTCAAGTAATTTGTTGAAAGCATGATTTCAGATTATTTTATCTGCTAGGGAACTGCTTTCACATTAACTTTTGCAATATCTTTTATGCTTACCTCTACCCCATCTAGAACAAGTTACATTGAAAGTCAGGAAAGATGTGGGTGGGGTACAGGAAAATTATTGTCTGGGTTATTATAGGTCAATGTTATAATGTTCATAAAATAAGATATTGTAAAGTTGAGTTTTATTATTGATGTAAAATAAGATTATAAACTCACCATTTATCCTGCTAATGCTGTGATATTTTAAATACACAAAGTTAAGTAAATATTTCTCATCTGACAAGTGTATTCATGTCTAGTCTATCCACTTTTATAAAATGTTTAAAAAATCAACTATTGATTCACAAGCCAAAACTTGTTCAATATTTGAAGTATCATGTTACATGATATAATTGTACACACACAAAAGACAATTCAATATTTTACTCTTTTTTTTGTAAATGCTTGCTGTAAGGCCTTATATATATATGGACATTATTAAACAAGACTTTAACCATTGTTATTATGTTCAAGTTTGTAATGAATAGTTAAAATGGAAATAATTGCCTTATTTAAAAATGTGAAATTGATCAGTATATACCAAAATAAATGTCCTTCTTAACAATCCCAAGGATAGATCTTGAAATGAAATATGTCTTCACTACAAATTCAAAATTGGAGAAATAACAAAATATTTTTCTTTAATTTTTAGCTCGACTATTGGATAAGAATAAGTAGAGCTATTGCAGTCACCCGAGCGTCGGCGTCGGCGTAACCACTTATGTTAAAGTTTTTGTAATAGTTCAAATATTTTCAAAGTCCATCGACATATAACTTTGAAACTTTGCACACTTGTTCACCATCATGACCCCAACCTGTAGACAGGAGGAGGTAACTCTATGAAGCATTTTGACAGAATTATGCCCCTTTTTTGACTTAGAATTTATGTTAAAGTTTCTGTAATACCTCAAATATTTTCAAAGTCCATAGACATATGGCTTTGAATCTTTGCACACTTGTTCACCATCATGACCCCAACCTGTAAACAGGAGGTAACTGTATCAAGCATTTTTTTTACTATCAAGCACTCAGAATAGTCGAGCGTTGCTGTCCTACCGACAGCTCTTGTTATAATAAAAGTGTGTCAAATCGTATACAATATTTAAAGTAGATTTACTAATTTTTTTGTTGATTTCTTTTGTTCCACCACATCCAGCAGCATTTCAATATTTTTCTCCACAAATAATTGCAAACTTCTCCACATGCAATTTTTTCAACAGTGAATCTGAATGAGTAGCATTAAACAAATTGTCATAAATTAAATTTCCACCAAATATAATGTCATTAATCAAATTGTCACAGAATGTATTTACAGGCTGTACAGATAATGGTAAAATGTTTACTATATACATTGTATAATTATATTTTTACAGGCTGTACAAATAATGGTAAAATGTTTACTATATACATTGTATAATTATATTTTTACAGGCTGTACAGATAATGGTAAAATGTTTACTATAATACATTGTATAATTATATTTTTACAGGCTGTACAAATAATGGTAAAATGTTTACTATATACATTGTATAATTATATTTTTACAGGCTGTACAAATAATGGTAAAATGTTTACTATAATACATTGTATAATTATATTTTTACAGGCTGTAAAATAATGGTAAAATGTTTACTATAATACATTGTATAATTATATTTTTACAGGCTGTACAGATAATGGTAAAATGTTTACTATAATACATTGTATAATTATATTTTTACAGGCTGTACAAATAATGGTAAAATGTTTACTAGAATACATTGTATAATTATATTTTTACAGGCTGTACAAATAATGGTAAAATGTTTACTATATACATTGTATAATTATATTTTTACAGGCTGTACAAAATTTTTAATAATGGTAAAATGTTTACTATAATACATTGTATAATTATATTTTTACAGGCTGTACAAATAATGGTAAAATGTTTACTATAATACATTGTATAATTATATTTTTACAGGCTGTACAAATAATGGTAAAATGTTTACTAGAATACATTGTATAATTATATTTTTACAGGCTGTACAAATAATGGTAAAATGTTCACTATAATACATTGTATAACTATATTTTTACAGGCTGTACAAATAATGGTAAAATGTTTACTATATACATTTGTATAATTAATATTTTTACAGGCTGTACTGATAATGGTAAAATGTTTACTATAAATACATTGTATAATTATATTTTTTTACATAATGGTAAAATGTTTACTGTATAATTGTATAATTATATTGTTAAGGCGTACAGATAATGGTAAAATGTTTACTTTATTTTTACGGCTGTACAGATAATGGTAAAATGTTTACTACCGTATATACATTTATAATATTTTTACAGGCTGTACAAATAATGGTAAATGTTTACTATATACATTGTATTATAAATTTTTACAGGCTGTACAGAATAATGGTAAAATGTTAACTATAATACATTGTATAATTATATTTTTACAGGCTGTAACAATAATGGTAAAATGTTTACTATATACATTGTATAATTATATTTTTACAGGCTGTAAAATAATGGTAAAATGTTTACTATAATACATTGTATAATTATATTTTTACAGGCCTGTAAAATAAATGGTAAAATGTTTACTATATATCATTGTATAATTATATTTTTACAGGCTGTAAAATAATGGTAAAATACATTGTATAATTATATTTTTACAGGCTGTACAAATAATGTAAAATGTTTACTATATACATTGTATAATTATATTTTTACAGGCTGTACAAATAATGGTAAAATGTTTACTATATACATTGTATAATTATATTTTTACAGGCTGTACAATAATTGTATAAATGTTTACTATAATACATTGTATAATTATATTTTTACAGGCTGTACAGATAATGGTAAAATGTTTACTATATACATTGTATAATTATATTTTTACAAAATAATGGTAAAATGTTTACTATATACATTGTATAATTATATTTTTACAGGCTGTACAAATAATGGTTAAAATGTTTACTATAATACATGGTTGTATAATTATATTTTTACAGGCTGTACAAATAATTGGTAAAATGTTTACTATATACATTGTATAATTATATTTTTACAGGCTGTTAAAATAATGGTAAAATGTTTACTATAATACATTGTTATAATTATATTTTTACATGTAAAAATAAATGGTTTTACTATAATACATTGTATAATTATATTTTTACAGCTGTAAAATAATGGTAAAATGTTTACTACAATACATTGTATAATTATATTTTTACAGGCTGTTAACAAAATAAATGGTAAAATGTTTACTATAATAATTGTATAATTATATTTTTACAGGCTGTACTGAAAATGGTAAAATGTTTACTATAATACATTGTATAATTATATTTTTACAGGCTGTACAAATAATGGTTAAAAATGTTTACTATCAATACATTGTATAATTATATTTTTACAGGCTGTACAAATAATGGTAAAATGTTTACTATAATACATTGTATAATTTTATTTTTACAGGCTGTACAAATAATAGGAGAGAATGAGAAGATGAAGAGTAGATTAAGGAATCTAGATGCCATACATGCTGAGAGAGATGAGTTGATACAACAGCTTGATACTACCAAACAAGAATTGTTTACTGAACAGAGGGAAGCTAGAACTAAAATTGATGAACTTAAAGAAGTAAGTTACCTCAAGTTAAAAAGGAAGGTAAGTTCCTCACGTGTTCTTTGATTAAAGAAATAACTTTATGCTCTTATGACTGTTAAAGAAGTAAGTTCCTTATAAGAATTAATAATTCCTGTATTTTTACCCTTAACCTGCTGAATTTCTTAAATGGACTTTTCCAATTTCCATTTTTGGAACAGTTCCATCTATCCCCCATTTTTTGGGATATCAAGGTGAGAATTTGAAGTTGGCCAGCCAATAATAAGAGCCTCAGGTCAGGACTGCACAGATGTTTAGGCTGGCCTGGATCTATACTGGAGGCAAAGACTAATCACTTTTGCCTTCATCAGGAGGGTAATGCGTTAAAGAAAGTAAGTTCATGTTGCAAAGAAAAAAATTATATCCTATACAAGTACTAAAAAAAGTCATTGTTTCTTGTATTTAAAAATAATTTTTTGTTTTGAAATTTCTTGACCCTTAAGTAAATTTACTTTAAGAATACTTAAAAATTTTCCCTTTTTTATGAATAAAAACAATTTCCAAAAAAATAAGTTATTATTTAAAAAATAGTTATTACTTAAAAAATTTTCCCGGATTTGAAAAAAACATAATGTTTAAAGTAAGGCTGTCGTCAAAAGTAAAAATTTTTGTATTTTTAAACGTAATTTCTTGTAAATGTACTTAAAATTGATTGTCCAGAACCTCTGTAAGTTTCTGCTTTTTATTTTTTGTTTTTATGCCTCCAGGCATAATAGTAATTGAACTGTCCTTCCATCTGTCCGTACAAGGTTAACCTAAAATGCAAAGTTAGATTTTTCTTAAATTCTACCTATACCAATGACTTCATAATTATCACACTTACTAATCAACACAAAGTACATGATCTCGGCAAGTTACATAACTATGGCTTCCATTAATTTTATTCCAAGATATTGCCTTTTTCAGCACTTTCAAAATGAATATGGTTAACCTATAAACCAGCAAGTTGGACATATATCTTCTATAAGTTGTATCTGTACTAATGGCTTCATAATTTCTACACTTACTTATCAATACAAAGTACACTCTATTGCCAAGTTATGTAACTGTGCCGTCCATATTTCATTGCTAAAATAAACTACAATAAACATAAAAAAGTTATGATTATTTTCAGGAGATAGAGAATGTTACAAGTACATATGAGCAAACACAGACAGAGAGGGATGAAGCCAATAAAAAACTGCAGAAACTTGAAGCTGCATACAGGAAAATGGAGAAAGAAAAAAATGAACTAATTCAGGTAAAAGCATTATCATACACATGAATATTAAAGCAGCACACCTCTAGTTTTATGCTAAATTTTATGAATTCTTCTGTATTAAAAAGTAAAACATTGTAAGGTGAGCAAAGAAAGTAATTGACACAACTCACACAGCACTTAAACTCTACAATTTTTACCAAAAATATGCAAATTCAGCCATTACTGCATTAGTCATGCAGGTGAAATATTGTGATAAATACAGTGTTTATCATTTTCATGTGTGAAGTTAAAAAAGCCAGAAATTCAACAAGATAGATCAAAGTTTTATATCTAGATTTAATGTTAAAGGGACTCCACTGAGGTTTATAATCCTAAAAAACCATAACATTTGAATTTCTTTCAAGAATGAGCTGGGGAACTTTAAACAGAAATATATGCAAATATATTTAACAAATATACTTTGATCGCATTTTTATGTCTTTCTTAGCCTGATTTGAGTGAAAAGCGTTTAAACACTTTTTCATTTTGGGTCATTTTTATACAATTTGAATAATCATTCTGGAAAAAAGAAATGTGCACATGATCTGAAATTTTGCACAAAGATTAGTGGTCTAAACCTACATCAAATGGTACATTTATCTGGAAAAAATATTCTCAGTCCCATCATGCCAAAAAACCTCAGTGGAGTCCCTTTATAGTATATAAGCTGGGGCAACTGATATTATCCATGTGACCAGTGCCACGGCACATCCCTGCCTTGCAACCAGTGCCCCTCTGTCCTGTTAGTCAATACATACTTTTTAATTTTCTCAAAAAGAAAGAAGATGAATACTTTTGTCTAAATTGAAAGTTGGACTAAAGTTCATTTAAAGTTTTTTAGCATGGTGAGTGTTAAATTGAATGACGGTGTTTGAAAATTGTTAAAGTAAGCATAGGTGACAAATAAGTGACTTTTTTTTATCAAGACCTATTGCCTTTATTAATTCTTTGCAGAAATTACCTGTTGTATTGTACAGGGCAGAAAAATATTCATTAATATTTTGCATAAAACATGTAAAGTGTCATATGCATAGTTGTGAAAAAATAATATATTGTTAACCCTTGAGATATTTTTCTCCAGTTAATTGCTTAGTTTTTGATTCCTGCAGATTTAATAGTTTATGAAGTAAAGATCAAAACTATGAATTACTACAATTAGTAATTATGTAATTTTTAAGTAAAATTAAAGTGCATGTCATTGAAATGATAAGAGTAAAACATTCAAAGAATAGCAAAATTAATCTGTGTGAAAATTATTGTTCTTATTCAATTTTAACACGGATTTATATTATTATTGTAATATAAATCCGTGATTTTAATAATATTATTGAAAAGATTTACTTTTACAATCATAAAAGAATGCTTTTCACATGGTTATATCATGTATTATCTCCCCTGGCCACCATTTTGAGGGTTATTACCAATATATCTTATGATTAACATTAGATAAAAATCTCTCATAATTTTATAATCTTCATGAAAACTTATAAAAATCTTTCACATGTCACATATTAGTAAGGTATGAAAATATATGCCTTTATATGTATAAAAGAATTGAAAAATTCACATAAATCAGCTGTTAACATTAAAAAAAAATCATATTTTGTCAATTTTATTACAAATTATATTGACTACAAAAATGGTCGCCTTTTTTGGCAAGGGAGGTAATTATATATTGGTCAGAACTATCTGTTGATAGTACCACATTACTGTCTAGCATTTATTTTATATACATGTATTCACGTTAACAGGCAATTAATTCTGAGGTAAGTAAAGCAAACCAGTGGATCACTGTTTAGTTGACATGTAGTTAAAAAGTCGCTAATCTAATGCTAATTGTTGATAACATGTCATAAAATCTATGTTAGCAGTTATATAAATAGGTACTTTTTTCTGCTATAATTGTTTAATATTATAAAATAATGCAATATTTACTTAACCATTTTGTGCTAAATTTGTAAAATTAGTAACTCTGCTAAAAATTTAGAACTATACTACTATATAGGGATTTCATTATCTTAACCTTAATTACCCTGCTGAAGGCAAAAGTGATTAGTCTTTGTTACCAGTATAGAGCAAGGCCAGACTGCACATCTGTACAGTCTGACCAGGCTCTATACTACTGGCTGGCCAACTTCAAATTTTCACCTTGACATCCCCTAAAATTGATAATGGGCAGTTTCAAAATGGAAATTGGAAAAGTCCATTACAGAAATTCAGCAGGTTAAGGGGTAAATATGCACAGGACCCAGTGGTTAAAGTCATTGATTTCAAACCACTTGTCTCCAACAATTGTCAAATCGAATTCCGTTATAGGCTTAAGATTCTTTCATGTGAGGAAACTTTGAGCTGATTTATGAAAATGCTCTTTTACTAGGGTGACAGTCTGTGCTTAAAAAAATTCACAGAATAGCACCTAGGGTCTTCCGTCACTAGTAACATATGACTTATACAGTGTTGGTGTGAGGTAAAACCCAACCACAAAAGAAATATATACATGTATATCTAAAATGCTTAAACTAAGTAGCTTATAAAATATATTCACTGGTCTGACAGCACAAACAGGCATGCTCAAGTTTAGCATTATTATCTGATGTTGTTGAGGCATTAGACTGTGAAACGTGCATTTCTACGTTGTTTGTACCGTAATCATGAAAGCACTTCAATATAGAGTTGCATGATAAGCAATTCACAATATTCATAATATACTGTGCATATTACAGTATGTAAAATGCAATTTTTCATCAACATGTTTATGCCACTGAGCTATATTTATATGGAGAGGAAGCTGCAACGTCATAAATTTTAAAATATGTATCAGGAATTTTATTATCCCACATGTTCACATTTTTGCAAGATCATGGTCATGCAATAGATTACCTAATCAGGCGAGACATCTTTTTTCGTAAAAGTGGTCCAACTTAACTTAAAAAGACTTGTCAAACATCATGAATATTATGATCATAATGGAGCAAATTAGTTTTTATGATATTCATATAATGGCTACAATTCTTTTCCTGGAGTTACATATGTATTTATATAATGTGCGATCTATGGTTACAGTTTTTACATAATTTGCCATTTTGAAACTTTCAGAGAAGCTGTTTTTTTCTAATAAGCGTATGCATCTTTCTTAGAATCTGCAATGTATCTGCCATGTGTGACAAAGAAGATAGTATTAAATGAAGTTCAACACTTGACCTTTGACTTTTATGAAATAAGAAAAAGTATGGAAGTTCTTATCTGCCATTATTTTACTATAGCCTACACAAATAGTGCTGCTTGATTGAAATTTGGTACATTGGAACCAACCTTAAGCCTATGTGAAAAGAAATTAAAACATTTTGGGGAAAAAACTGAGTCTTTTTTGTTTTGTTTTTTTTTTCAGGAGAAAACTCGTCATTATGAAGAGGAACGTGAAAAGTACAAGACGGAGAAAAGTGAGTTACGTAAACGTAACTTAGACGAGATGGAAACAATGAGACAAGATCTTATCAGAATGACAAATAAGGTCGCTGGGTTACAAGATGAAGTAAGGGCAAAAGAGGAACTACATTTACAGCTCAGGTTTGTAACATTCACAAAATGTATTCATACACAGTGAACAAAATTTTGTAGCCAAATATAAAAAAAATGCTCATGAAGTGCTAATCTTGCATGTGGCCTAAAACTGCTATAATTGCATGGATGCTCAGACTGCCCTGAGCATCCCTGCTTGAAAGCATTAAAAAGTAAATATTTCCATTGACTTTTCCATTTGTCAACAATGTCAAATTAAAGGGACTCAACTGAGGTTTTTTGACATGACAGGATTGGATTTTTTTTCAAGATTAATATTCTATTTGATGTAGGTAAATCAGACCGAAAACATGTGTACAAACTTTCAGATCATTCCCTCACTCTCTTTTTCCAGAATAATAATTCTATTTGTGAAAAATGACCGAAAATATAAGCGTTGCAGTGCTTTTTACTCAAATTGGGCTAACAGTAACACAAAACTATGATTTTCAATATATTTCTGGGTATATTACTTACAGTGATTTTCCTACATATATAACAGACTCCGAAAAAGGGCCTCTTCCCAATTGAAATTTTCTTTAAAATCATGCAGTTTTCGCAAAAATCTGAACTGAAACATGCTTTTTTCTTCCCAAATTAGCAATTTTAGCGATAATTTTTCCCAAAATCAAGAGGCTAAGGCTTCTTCCCAATTAAGCGAGAAAAATCACTGACTTATTACCTTTTGGAAATTTTTCTGTTTTATGTGCCCCAGCAGATCAATGTGTAAAATTAAAACCTTATTTTTTTAGGTATTTGGACCTCAGTAGAGTTCCTTTAAATTTGATACCTCGGATTAATTTTGATCCCAGCATTCCAGACTAAATGACTTTATGCTGAGATCTGATGTTTGAAATACATAAAAAAAAACTAGTACATCTTGAGCATTATACATGTTGCTTAATTTTTATGTTGTTAAAGTCAGGATCGATATCTACAATGTATGATAATTTTCACTTTGTATAAATGTAGAATTTGTAATGACATATGATTTGTATGGTGTAGGGATCAGATTTTGACGCTGCAAGAGAAGTACGACAACGAGAAAACCAGTCGTAACTCGATCCTTGATGAACATAAAAAGACACTTCAGACTCTTAGAAAAGATACTGTAAGTTATACGGGTATTTCCTTGTAGATGATATTTAAGGCTATGATTGAATGTTGATTATTGGTTGAATATATAATTTTGTTAAAAAATTATAACAAAGTACCAAAAAGGAATAAATAATATTTGTTAAAACCTGACACAGGTGTTGATGCAAATATAAACATTATTACTAAACATTCTTGAAACTAAGGAAAAAAAGAATACCGGTAATGATTAATTTTAAAAAGTTTAAATTTTAAAAAAATGAAAGGAAAGCTTGAAGAGGCAATTAACAGCAATGTGTTACTTGTGTTTTCTTCACCAATGTAAACATTAAACTATTATTTGCCTGAGCTTTCAAGTGTTTACAAAAGAGAAAAAGGCTGTTTGTGGTTAAGGCATCAGCTGCTAAATTCAGGGTCACTGGTTTGAGCCCCACTTATTTTCACTAATTTTTCTTGTTTGACAGCTGAGAAGTGGTTAGTTCTAGGAAGTGGGCTCAAAAAATGATGGAAGTAAATTCAGGGGTCACTGGATTGAGCCCTACTTATTATCATCAATTTTCCTTGTTTGACAGCTGAGTGGCTAGTTCCAGGAAGCAGGCTGGAAAAATGATTGAAGTTTTACATTAAATATCTGATCATATTTCAGGACACCGCCATGGTTCAGATGAGAGAGTCGTTATTCCTGGAGAAGCAGAAGACAGTTGATATGATGCGTGAAGAGTTAGATCAGGAGAGGCGGGACATCGCTGCACGTACAGAGGAAAGGTATGCGGCACAAATCACAGAGCTTGAAACAATCATAAAGGTATGAAGACATTGTTTGGCTATATCATGTTTGGCTAGAATTAGTTGAGTTTATACAAATTTATTTTAGTATGATTGTGTTGGAAGCTATATTAGCTTATTGAAACACTCTCAAATCTGTTCCTGGAACCATCCAGTACTATGGAATAAATGTAAAGTTTCTTGCTGAAGGAAACAACGGCTAGCCCTGACAGGGTTTGAACCCACATGGTCAACAATCCTAAGATTACTAGTCCGACATGGTAACCACTCAGCCAAGCTGTTTGGCTAGAATTGATATGTGTGATAGTTTAGATTTTTAAGTCTAAAAATTTGGGGTGTTTTTTTTAATATCTTTGGTTAAAGTTGAAGTCCATAATTCCTTTTTGTCTTATTGCCATACTGTGGGTCACTTTACATCAAGGTACATGTATCATAGGCAAAAATCAGCAGCAGAAGATATTGTTTTTGTATACATTGCTTGCAATGTATACAGAGTTATAGCTGTATTTCAGATTTAGTACACCTAACGTGTTTTGCTGAACAACATCCACCTTTGGATGAAACCTCGATAAAAGTAGATCCATATTTTGCAGGATTGTCACATTAAGATCACTTTTTATTAATATGCTGTTTGCATAGTGGTCAATAAGCTTTGAAAGTTCAAAACTATGCACTTTCAGTTCAAATAAACATTTTCTAAACATGAAAGCAAAAAATATGAAAATTTCTATTTCATTCATAAAAGCATTGTGTAAACCTACGCTTCAAACTTCGTATCCACGCATGCGCGTGCAAGAATGAATGAATTACGACATACTCTGTATAAAAATATGTCCAACACCCAAAATTAATATTAAATCAAACAAATAAACCTTATTTACTTTTAAATATAGACTTGCATACTTTTTCTATTTCAAACTGTTTTAGAAAACGAGCATATACAGATATATATGTCTTATTTAGTGTTATGTAACATTGTAAGCGTCTGTATGAATGGATTAAAGTTTACGTTCTGACGTATTGTCATATAATTGCATATAATAGAACCCTATCAACGTGGTGGCATCGGAGGAGTATGCAATTATTTGTTTCACACCTGCAGTGTGAAGTATTTCTGCCACTTTAGTGAAATATATCGTCCAAAAGCCATTTTCGGGAAAGGGAAGATTCGTACTCAATATTATTCGAACTAAGGATTTGTACTCAATATTATTCGAATTTAGCCTTCGTAATCGGTATTATTCGAACTGACAATCATGGCAGATATGTTTAGACCCCCTGGACATTTAGATGTTGAAAATGGTAACATATCACACAACTTTATCAAATGGAAGCGCCAATGGAAATTTACTTTACCAGTGTTGACTGCCAGTGGAAATGCTGAGAAAGATGAAAAGATACAAGTAAATATCCTATTACACTGTGCTGGACCTAAAGTTATCAATTTACATGGGCAAATGCAGAACATAAACTGAAAGTGAAAAAAAATTATTTGACAAAATAGAAAGCTATTGCAATCCTAGAAAAAATGAAGTGCTAGAATCACACAGATTTTGGGTAACAAATCCAGATAATTATTCATCATTTGACAGTTTTCTTACAGAGTTTTGAAAGCATGTTGAGTCCAGAAATATATTTTGAAATATGTTATTTACAATCAAATCACTCAGTCAGGCTGAGCCACCCTTAACATTTTTTACATAACTCCTTAGACTATTGATATATATATATATATAAGGTAAAATTATAAGCCATATATGAGCTTATGATTGCATGGGCAGTTAAATTAAAGCCATTAGTAAAAAAAAGGGTTGACCTGGGATAACCAAAGTGAAGAGTGAAATATGACACTCAACACAGGTACATTCTAAATATTTAGATTGATGTTTATGATCAGATTTAGCACAAATAGTAATTTAATTTCCCCTGATACCACAAATTTGAATTTATTTAGAGTCCTGAAGATCTTTTTATGATGAAATCTTAACTGAAAAACCAGGTTTAACTGAATAATTATAAAATTCCTTGCCACAATGATAACTAGAAGGTACATAAAGCCAGTCAAAAAAAATATTTCTATCCATATTCATCATTCCTGGACCTCCATCCATTTGATGAATTTCTCCAACTGGAAAATTTTTCATCTTATTATGATTTGTTTGTTAATATAAAAGATTTTTTATGTTTATATAAAGCTAGAATAGTCTGTAATGGCTAAGATAGACAGATAAGAACAAACTATTTAGTAAACATGAGTTACATCCCTTCAAATGGAGATAAAGATGAAACCCATAAGAAATTGCCATGTCTGACAGACAGCAAAATTATAAAATTCTGCAGGCTCAGTTTACTTAGGCCCATTAGGAGGTAGTGGTAATAACTGTGGGTCAAAAATGAAATGATATCATTTTCAAGGGATGTTTCTGATATGATTTACTTTAAATAATGGGTCATTATCAATGAATGTTTCTTTGACTTCTTTGCCCATGTGTAATAGATAATTGACATTGCCAGCTAGATAGCTCAGCTGAGTGAGTCAGTACAGCCCACATACATGTATAATATTCTGATTCAGGTTTGATTCCGGTCAAACTGCACATTTTTCTCACCCTGTGATATTTTCACCCTGTTACTTTTAGGGTCCAATATATGTTTATGATGGTACATAACTGAGTCATAAGTCAATTCACTTTGTTACTTAAGTGTGCCAATGAAAAAGGAAACATTTCAATATGCTGTGGATTATGTCAATACATAGAACTATGAGACTGAAAATATTTAAGCTGTAGAGCTGCTGTATGGTATTCCAAGGGTTCTGGGTTTTTTGGTAGTGCTGAGGTATGGTATTCTGAGTGTCTCTGGTTTGAGTTTTAGTCAGTCTGCATTTCATTTTCTCACTCTTTGATATTGATAAATATTTTCAGCTCATTATTGGCTGGACTGCATATATTAATGATTTATTTGTATTAAATCAATATTGTTAAAAATTTAGTTATTGTCTATATATGCATGTGACTTTATTTTTGATAAGGCATTGTAACAGTACTACTTCTTAATTTGACCTTTTTTGTATTGGGGGAGAAGCCCTTAATTAACTCCTTACCAGTAAGTTTTATTGTACACGATGATGATAGCTTGAAAGGATTTAGCTAAAAAAGATACTACATGAATCTTTTTTTTCCTATTGGATTGTGAAATATTTATTGATTGTCAAAAAACTATATGGAGTTCTCCTCGGTGACATTAAACAGTCCCAGCTGGCCATACATGCACGACCTTGCAGACCATGAGACAGGATGGTCTGTACCAAGACAAATCCGATATCGAGACCAGGTGGACAGGACAGACAGTGATGTTCAGATCCCCCACTCAGAAAGGAAGTTACTACACTCAAGGTCCTGGTCTTCAATTACTTCATTTGCTTACTTGGAGTAAAGGTGCCGGAAACAATAGTATGGTATCACAAAAAGCACAGACTGTGATAAAAGTCAAACCAAAAAAGATACTATAAACTGAATTCATAGATTATATAAAAGAAATTTATTAATTCTTTAAGTTTATAGTTAACAAAAAAAAGATACTGAGTATTTAATTTTGATATATAGCATATTAACACACACAAAGTGCATTATGCCATATAAATTTCAACTTAGTGCTTAAATACTTTCTGATGAACTCAGTAAGCAAACATGATTTACTAATCTTTGGATTCCCACACTCCTCTCCACCTAGCTCCAATGAGATCCACTTGGTTGACCATAACATGTACCATACCTCATATTGTTTGTTTACAGTTTGGAATGAAAAAATGAAAGTTTATTCTAGATATTATAAAGCTTAATTTTATTAAATTTCACAAGGCTTTCAACACATCAACAATGTAATTGTCATTTTATTTTTTGAAAATGTGTTGGACTGCTGGTCTGATGCATGTAGATGCTGTGTTGGCATATAGCGATTCCCCTCTTTTGTGTGTGTGTGTGCATGCATGCGTGCATGTGTGTGTGTTTTATACATTATGTAGTTAACATCTTTTGAAAACATCTTGTCCAATTTCAACCAAATTTGACAGGGTTGTTCCATGAGTAAAGGGCTTCCAAAGTTGTTCAAAGACTTAAATGAGGCCTAGAGCATAGATATTTTGCAAAAGGCATTGTCTGGTAGACATTCACAAGATTTTCACATTATACCCTGGGTGTCAAATTAGCCCTGCACTAGGGTTCATAGATTTTCCTGATATGTATGTAGTTAAAACTTAAAATCTTCTCCTCTGAATTGACAAAGACTAGAGGTTAGATATTTGTCATGAAACATTTGGTAGTTAACCTCTACCAAGATTATTCACGTTACAGCCCAAGGGTCAAAATTAGCCTCACCCCTGGGGTCATATATTAAGGTTTTCCTTATATGTATATAGCAAAAACTTTTTTTAAAATCTTTTTATCAGAAGGTTTAAGGCTTAGAGCTTTAAAGATACTTGGTAAATAATATCATAAGTACGTCCTTTACCAAAGTTGTTCAAATGTTGCCCCTAGTGAAATAGCACCAGGGTGTCATAGGTTTTCCTTAAATGTATAAACATGTATAGAAAAAAAAACTTAAAAAATATTCTCCTCTGGATTGACAAAGGCTAGATGTTTGATATTTGGCATGAAACCTTTACGTGTGTAATAAACCTCTATCACTATTGTTCAAATTATAGCCCTGGGGTCAAAATGGCTCTGCCAAGGAGTCTTTTTGGGTTTTCATTATATGGTATGTATACAATAATTTTTTTTTTTAAATCTTGTCTGAAGGTACAAGGTTTACCAGGCACCATGGTGTCTTAGGATTTCCTTAAATGTATATACATGTATAGAAAAAAAACTTAAACAGTATTCCCCTCTGAATTGACAAAGACTAGAGGTAAGATATTTGGCATGAAGCATTGTGTAGTCGACCTCTACCAAGATTGTTTTAATTTTAGCCCTGGGATAAAATTTGCCTTGTAGGGGGGAGGGGTCATTAATTTTCGTAATGTACTTGTAGTAAAAATTTAAGAATGTACAAGGCTAGAGCTTAGGGCTTTGATGCCTAAATTTTGTCAAGTACAAATGCTTTTATTTTGAATCAATAATTGCACTATGGAGTGCATTTTTTCCAGTGAATGCGTTTTGCATGTAAACAAAAATGTTCACCTAACTTTTAAGTCTTGCTGAATGATTCAATACCACATTTTTGTAGACTACAAACCCACATGTTGGTCTTGTTTTTAAAGTAATAGATAAAAACACTGAAGACTCTATTTTACTATTTTAGCATTGTATACTGCAGATAATAAACCGGTTTTTGAAAACTGATTTCTGTATTGCTCTTCAATTTCGCAAACCATATAGTATTGCCTGGAAAAACACAGCACTAGTCTGTAGGAACAACACCTCTTTCTTGTCCTATTAATAACTTGAGAAGAAATAAGCCTAGATTTGTGTTCGAAATTGATTGTAACCAGCAGATGACTTCTATTGAGTTCAGTAGATTAAAATCACATGGTCTTGATGTCAAGCAATGTATACCTCAGTGCTTGCAGTGCTTTGATGTTATTGAGTTTTATAACTATCTCAGCTTTATTTACAAGATATAGATGAAACATAGTTACAATAAAAACCTGTCTTTAAAGCCCAATGCAGAATAAAACAAAGTGGTCTTTGCTGTTAGGTTGCTCTTAATAGAAAGTTTTTTGCAAAACAAATTAATCAAAATAGGAATTTATAATTGGTAACCATAAGTCACAAGTTTTCTTTATAAACTTTATATAATTATGGTCTGATATAATTATGGTCTTTATAAAGAGGATGGATCTGTTCATGGGTTAGACTCTTATAGTATAAGCCATAATTTTATCAATGGTCCTTTTTACTTATGGTTCATTTGTCCATATAACAGGATGGGTGCCAAAACTAAAAGTAGAAAGAAAAGCCTTCACAAGATATCTTTCCGTCCTTGACTTTCAGAGTAGATTTTGGTGAAATTTTATAGGAAATAGTAGCAGTTGCTCTGTTACTTCTTTATGTATTTTTGAAATGGCTAGTACTAAGTAGTTATTAAAATGATTTTAGCAAGCTACTGCAAAAATAAGAGCTTATTGCTATTTTTTTAAAGATTGAATATTTGCAGCCGATTGCAAAATAATTTTTAGACACAATTTTAGTAGTTGCTTTCTGGCTATTTTATGCAACAATTTTGTTTTAGAATGCAGGTGATGATATGACTTCAAAATGAAAAAAGTTATCGGTGAAGTGCGAGAACTAAATTTAACAATAGCAGTTTTTTTTTGTGGCTGTTTGATGCTAAACTAGATCAAATTTTAACATATGATTTTTTTGTGTGACTTTTTTATGCTAAGAACAAAGTTTGGTGTATACTTGTGTGATTATTTTATGCTAAGTTAGGTATATTTTGTAGTTAAACTTATTTTGTGGTTATTTTATGCTAAATTAGGTACATTTTGTATAACTTATTTTGTGGTTAATTTATGCTAAATTAGGTACATTTTGTAGTTAACTTATTTTGTGGTTATTTTATGCTAAGTTAGGTACATTTTGTAGTTAACTTATTTTGTGGTTATTTTATGCTAAGTTAGGTACATTTTGTAGTTTAACTTATTTTGTGTTTATTTTATGCTAAATGTTTGTTACAGGCTAAATCAGATGAGATTTTACATTTGAGTAAATTAGCTGCTAAATTAGAAACAGATCTGACTAGAAGTAAGGTGAACATGGAGGATGAAATAAAAATGCAGGTAAAATAAAATTCCCTACAAACAATTTTAAGCATAATCAACTTGATCAATAGCCAAAATTTCTGTCCTTACATTTGAGAAGTTTTTGTTCTAGAATTAAGTTAAATCTACACCAAGATTTAATCAATTTAGTTCACGGTAGCACATCCTTAGCCTTAAATCATTATTACAAACCCTACGACTTATCAAAAGATGCAAATTCTTAAGTTCCGTCTTAATTACAAGGGAGGTAACCTCACTTCAGAGGCCAGACTCATCACAGTGATTACCTCCCTTGGCAGAATTGTAATCTCTGTACTGATAAGGGGAGATCACTGCGTTGGAGATTGTTCAGAGGCATTAAACTTGTTACATGATTATATCCCTTTAATTCCTATATACATATACATTGGAAGCTGGACTGGTCCATTTATCAAGATTAGGGTTAAGATTATAAGTACTGTGATATAGATAGTAACTGTGTTAGTATAATTTTTACATTTTCTATTCATAAGAATTTATATGTGTACAAATATTGTAGACAATGTGATTGTATTTGATGTATAACTAACAATAAATTGAATGTATTAAATATTATATAATCTTTCGTTTTATTTTTTATCCACTTTTCCATCTTTTTACAGACTGCAAGCATGCTCTGATTTTTAGAACAGTTCATTGTTAATGGACATGAATTCTAAAACGGAGGACAAGTGTTTGGAATTATTTTTGTGTCCAATAGAATTACAGTATTTTAAATGAAACATAACACATATTCCTTTGATAAATTGGCAAACTGTTAATCAGTCTAATAAATCAATTGTTTATAAAAATAATTTCAATCGCTGAATTGGTTAGTTGTCATTTTGACACCTTTCTGTGCCGTTCTTGACCAATTTTAATTTTGTAAATGCTTACTAATGGACAGAAACCTATAATTGACAGTCCCAAGTTTACAGAATGGGCGTAATTATTGTCTAGTTGTTACAGTGATTGCAGACTCTAGTTGAAAGTTAAATCCCCTCATAATTTGCTCTAACTAAAATTAACATTTTTCTGTTTTGGCAAGACCGAAGACCAAGGTCTTGTGTATTGATTATTTACAATTATGAATATCAAAGAAATGATGGTTACTTTTGAAAAGATCTTGCCCATATTCGACTTCTTGTGGCAAATTTAATTATAGTTTATTATAAACATAATTATGTCACAAAAATCTTTGTTTTCATCAGTTTAACAACCTTGATATTAAGCTCAATTTGTAAAGACTGTGGAATTTTAGTGTTTTCGATATATAAGTAGGACTTTCAATTGGAAACTTTCTTTTTGTGCCTTTTTAGTGTTTTTAATATCAAATGCACAACAGTAGCATCCAGATCACACTCAGACTGTTTTGTTTGTTTGTTTGATTTTACGCCTTTTCCAAACAGTATTTCAGTCATATAGACGGGTAATTTCCTAGCCATCGTTCCTGGAGACACTTAGACTGAATTGTAGATCAATTTATACCGAGGATATAGGCTCTGCACACCGTTATCCTTTACCAATACTGAAGAGAAACAAACAACAACAATTTTGTATATCATTTTTATGTTTTCTATTGCTTTATAGAAATAAAGTTTTATAAAAAAAAAGATTTAAAAAAGGCATCAATCAATAAATCATGTATGTAAAATGCATAAACATTCAAAACTAGAGAGTAATATATGCAAAAATTCATGTAAACAAATAAATAATGTAGGATTTAGATTCTATATGTAACAAACAGTTCTGCAAGAGTAGTATTTTCATAATCCTGAAACATTATCAATGAAACATATACAAATATAAAAGAAAATTAGTCATTTATTGAGGAGTTTGTTACTCCATTTGTAAAACCTACATGTATTAAACTATAAGCCCATTAACTTTTAAGTACATTAAACACTTTACAATAATCATTGCCTGGAAAGACTTGTAGGTTTGGACAGGCACGTCACAGAAAAATGATTTCTCAAAAAAAGAAAAAAAAAAACCTTAAATTTCACATGTAAATTTGCATATATATATAATACATGTATATACTTTATATGTACAAAACATTATCAGTATGAAATATCACAATTTATTTTTCAATATCACATAACATACATTAACATCATAAACATGAAGAGGAAAATAAACAACAACTGGTTTTAACTCTTGCTCCTAGACATAATTGATATAAGAATATTTTTCAAGTGAAAAAAGAAACAGACAAGTATATTATGTAGATTCTTTATGTAGATTTCAGATAACTCGTGTTATTCTTAATAAAGTTAATATTTTATTTAGTATTTTTAACAAATTGAGTAAAATAGTTACTAGATATCAAATTGTATATTATTTGTTGAATATAAACATGACATCTTTACAGTTTTGTGTATTTATATTGTAGTGATGATGTACTATGTACAAATCCAAAATGAAATTAAATGTGTGTTTGTTCTATTCTGTTCTGTTCTGCTGTATACTGGAAACAAAGACAAAGCTGGTATTAAATGTGGTAATGGAAAAAAAACATAACAACATTTTATTTAGGGGCACTGTTTAGAATATGAGACCACTGTCAGCATACAAGAATCTTATATCACAAATCTCATTAACTTTGGTGAATGCACACAAATTTTGAATTCATTCCCTTTTTTTCCTCCAAGAATAAAACATTAACATACAATAAGGTATAAACTACTAGCAACAGAAAAATGTTGTAAGACTAGTGCAAAATTGCTGTGTCACTTTTATTTCTTGTGTTAAAACAATTGTTTTGGACTAATCTTTCAACATTTAGACATTAAAACAGGTGAAAAAGTATATATATAAATAACAAATAACATGCACAATTCATTAAAGTTTGCGTATTATGCAATATATAATAAATCATAATTTATGTAAGTATAAAAATATGTAATTTGTAATTCGTTCCATGATAGTATATTATGATTACCTCCCTTTCTATGTCATTTTTCTTTGGTATAGAAATAATTGCAGTAAGACATTAAGGCCCTACTTTAAAATAAAGGCATTAGTAAACTAGAAATGTGTCATCATGCCACGGATGCCCCCGCATGCAGCCAAAATTTCAAATGTTATAATAATTAGTTCCAAATTTGTTTGCATAAATAATTTTTTTCATTCAAAGTTCAAAGCCCTTAAAACTTTTCAATGTTAACACAAACCATTTTTATACAATGTTCAAGGCACTGAAATTATTCAGTCTTAACCTTTTAAAAATAGCATATTGCATATTTGTAGCCAACATAATGGCTATATACATTTCCACAAAAGTATGAGTGCTGAAACTAAAAGTTCAAAATTTTTCCAACATTCAGGAAAGATAAGTTTGTCTAAAATCATTGAACCACGACCAAATTCAAACTTAAACTGCTTATTCATAAGATGTATCTATATTATTTTCAAAGTGAAAGGGACATAACTCTGCCAAAAAATCATCAAACCATGACCAAATTCCAACTTGACCTGCGCATTCCTTTGACATATCCATATGTCAACTTTGAGTTGAATATGTAACACTGTTGGGTTGATAATGAACAGAAACTGTAAATTTCATATCATTTTCAAAGTGAAAGGGGCATTACTCTGCCAAAAATCATTGAACCATGACCAGATTCGAACTTGGTCTACGCATTCCAAAAACATATCCATATGTCAAATTTGAGTTGAATGTGTAATATGGTTGGCGAGATATTAAACGGAAACTGAAAATTTCATACTGTTTTTAAAGTGAAAGGGGCATAACTCTGCCAAAAATCATCGAACCATGACCAAATTTGAAATTGACCTGCGCATTCCTTTGACGTATCGATATGTCAAATTTGAGTTGAATGTTTAATACTGTTGGGGAGATAATAAACAGAAACTGAAAATTTCATATTATTTTCAAAGTAAAAGGGGCATAACTCTGCCAAAAATCATCGAACCATGAACAAATTTGAAATTGACCTGCGCATTCCTTTGACGTATTGATATGTCAAGTTTGAGCTAAATGTGTTGTACGATTGGGGAGATAATGAACGGAAACTGAAAATTTCATATTATTTTCAAAGTGAAAGGGGCATAACTCTGCCAAAAATCATCGAACCATGACCAAATTTGAACTTGACCTGTATTTTCTCATGACATATCTATATGTCAAGTTTGAGTTTGAATGTGTTGTACCGTTGGGGAGATAATGAACGGAAACTGAAAATTTCATATTATTTTCAAAGTAAAAGGGCATAACTCTGCCAAAAATCATCGAACCATGACCATTTTTGAACTTGACCTGTATTTTCTCATGGACATATCCATATGTCAATTTTGAATTGAATGTTTTGAACCGTTTGGGAGATAATGAACGGAAACTGAAAATTTCATATTATTTTCAATGTAAAAGGGGCATAACTCTGCCAAAAATCATCGAACCATGACCAATTTCGAACTTGACCTGTATTTTCTCATGACATATCCATATGTCAAATTTGAGTTCAATATGTGCAAGGGTTATTAAGATAATGAACGGAAACTGATGATGACGGAAGGACGGAATGACGGAACAGGGTAACACTATATGCCCCTGCCATTATATGGCGGGGGCATAAACATGTCACATGATGTGTTAAGGCCCAAGTTTAAATTGAGGCATAAGTGAAACGTTTAATTTTTTGAGTAAACAAACCAACTTTTCACTGAACTATTGTTTACTTTATATAATATCCTCAAAAAAGAATCCAATTTTCTAAAAATAGATCTACAGTAGTCAAACTGAATTCTCTAATGTAATGTAATTCATGCGAGTCCAATTCTCCTTCACTAGAAACAATGGCCCTTGATCATGAATACAGTTTTTAAATGCACATCATCAGCTGATTTGTTCCAACATTTTTCTCATCTCTGAGTTGACCTTGACCCCATGTAGTTTCCATGGTAACGCAGAGAAATCAGCACATTCTATCTTCTCTCTTTGATATTCTGGCATCTCTCGTGTGTCATCAGTTCTGGAATGAACAAAGTAGTTCCTTATAACCGTGTAAATATACGAAAAAAGTAGTTCCTAAGAACCATATCAGGGTATAAGAAAATAGCAGTTTCTTAACATTTTTACCTTTTTATTACCTCTTTATGAAGAATACTAGCAGAAATGAATTCCAAAGTTAGGATATGAATGCAAGAAATACTTTATATGGCAATCTCCTCATATGCCCCTTTTTATCCAAACCAAATGAATCTGCTTCAAGAAAAAATAGTAAAACAGATATGGCAAACAAAATAAGTCAGAAATTGGAAAAACAAGGCTGGCAGAACAGAGATGCTAAGTATATTTTAACTATGATTCATTTGACTGAAATATTGTAACTTTAGTGTCAACTTAGATTAATTTTAGGCATTGCAACTTTAATGTCAAAAGAGATAAGGTATTGTAACTTTGGTGTCAAAAGCGATAAGGTATTGTAACTTTAATGTCAAAAGAGAAAAGGTATTGTGACTTTAGTGACAAAAGAGGTAAGGTATTGCAACTTTAGTGTCAAAAGAGATAAGGTATTTGAACATAAAATGTAAAGGAGATAATGTATTGTAACTTTAGTGTGAAAAAATAAGGTATTGTAGCATCAATGTCAACTTAGATTTAAGGTATTGCAACTTTAAAGCCAAAAGAGAAAATGTATTGCAACTTTTAAGTGTCAAAAGAGATAAGGTATTGTAACTTTAGTGTCAAAAGAGATAAGGTATTGTAACTTTAGTGTCAAAAGAGATAAGGACTGGTATTGTTACTTTAATTAAGTGCTAACTTAGATAAAAGCTATTGTAACTATAGTGTCAAAAGAGATAAGGTATTTTAACATTAAGTGTCAAAAGAGATATGGTACTGTAACTTTAGTGTCAAAAAAGATAAGGTATTGTAACTTTAGTGTCAAAAAATAATAAAGGTACTTTAGTGTCAAAAGAGATATGGTATTGCAACTTTAATGCCAAAAGAGAAAAAGTATTGCAACTTAAGTATCAAAAGAGATAAGATACTGAAACTTTAGTGTCAAAAGAGATAAGTTATTGTAACTTTAGTGTGGAAAGGAATAAGGTATTGTAACTTTAGTGTCAAAATAGATAAGGTAATCATCCTCTTATTAAATCTGATTTCTTTGTTTCAATTCATCCTTAAATTGGTATTCCATTGTATCCAAGGGTTTGGAATACTCAAATAATTTTATTAGTAACAAACTACACAATCAAATTAATATTCAATTATTAACAGAACACATCTATAAATGCTAACAGCAGGATCATTCAAAAAATATAATTGCACACAACAGGTATGTGAAACTTCAAATATATGCATTATAAACACTCAAATATGCAAAACCAAGCATTATCAGGTATACCATTCAACCAGTATTGCCCCAAGAAAATTTATATTACTTGAGTTCTTAACTATGTTGTGATAATTTCAAACATGCTTTAATACAAAAAAAATGTAAGAAATGCAAAAAAGTCTTATGTAAAAGTAGTCAAAATATTCTTGCTAATGTATACTATATAATTATACTTGTTGACATGCAAGTCATGGCCACTGACATTAAAAGGGTTATAAATTTGTAACATGCATTTTTAATAAGAAATTTATTAAGTCCAAAGCAATTTTGAACAAACTAGAAATGTGTCCATAGGACACTGATGCCCCCACACGCCACTGTTCTGTCAATCTTATGACTCTAGGTCAAATATTTTTTGGACTACATGTGCCACAACTTGAAAACTAAAAATCAACAAAGGGCCATAATTCTGTTAAATTTGGTCGCAGCAAAAAATCCTTCCTTTACTACGATCTACACCTTAAGGTTGTTCATCCCTGGAAGTTTAAACAAAATCTGCCATCCGGTTTAATAGGAGTTGCATTCACAAAATTTCTACATGGTATAAAGTGAAAAAATCAACAAAGGGCCATAATTCTGTAAAATTTGGTCGCAGCAAAAATTCCTTCCTTTACTACCATCTACACCTTAAGGTTGTTCATCCCTGTAAGTTTAAGCAAAATCTGCCATCCGGTTTAAGAGGAGTTGCGTTCACAAAATTTCTACATAGTATATAGTGAAAAAATCAACAAAGGGCCATAATTCTGTTAAATTTGGTCGCAGCAAAAATTCCTTCCTTTACTACCATCTACACATTAAGGTTGTTCATCCCTGAAAGTTTAAGCAAAATTTGCCATCTGGTTTAAGAGGAGTTGCATTCACAAAATTTCTACATAGTATATAGTGAAAAAATCAACAAAGGGCCATAATTCTGTAAAATTTGGTCCGCAGCGAAAATTTCCTTCCTTTACTACCATCTACACATTAAGGTTGTTCATCCTGTAAGTTTAAGCAAAATCTGCCATCCGGTTTTAGAGGAGTTGCGTTCACAAAATTTCTACATAGTATATAGTGAAAAAATCAACAAAGGGCCATAATTCTATTAAATTGGTCGCAGCGAAAATTCCTTCCTTTACTACCATCTACACCTTAAGGTTGTTAATCCCTGTAAGTTTAAGCAAAATCTGCCATCCAGTTTTAGAGGAGTTGCGTTCACAAAATTTCTACATAGTATAAAGTGAAAAAATCAACAAAGGGCCATTATTCTGTTAAATTTGGTCGCAGCGAAAATTCCTTCCTTTACTACCATCTACACATTAAGGTTGTTCATCCCTGTAAGTTTAAGCAAAATCTGCCATGCGGTTTAAGAGGAGTTGCGTTCACAAGATTTCGGGACGTACGGACGGACTGACGGAATGACGGACGGACTGACGGAATGACGGACGGACGGACAAGTGCAACGCTATATGCTCCCACATTGTGGGGGCATAAAAATGTTTTCTTTCCCTTTTCAAAACATAAAATGGTATAAAAAATACTAGTACATAATTTATGTATCTTAATTTTTTTGATTCTAGCACATTGTTTTCTGGTCAAATGGTATCACATTGTTTTCAGCAAGCAAACAAGGCAACAAAACAGTTTTGAGGGAAAAAAACCCTCACTCATTCCACCTTTTGTTATACAATATATACTTCAATAATACAATGAGCAAGACCATGCTGGTTTAAAATGTACATCATATACAAATTTCACAATCAATTCCAAGACATATATCTGAGCAACATGGATCAAAAACACAGAAAAAAAAACATCATTTCTCAACGGAAACAAACTCACCCTAACAGACCAAAAGCAATCTCTAACTCTACGAGTCTTCTAAGATAGTCTTGTGTCCTATTTTTTGACAAGTGTATAGTAATAAGTAAATATTTCAGTTTTAAAAAATAGAGTATTAAGCCCTTTGGCCTTTGTACTATCTATCTATTGAAGAAAATGGCTATAAACATGGACACATGACATGGGAACTTTCCATCAGAAGAAAAACAACAAGTTTTTTAACCTAAATTTATTAAATGGAGTGAAACAAAAAATGTAGGTTTATGTACTTGACCAATTCCACAAAAATGCCTATGACAATGTCACCTGGTGAAACAAAATAAATCTATAGCTTCTTAGCAATTATGTTTTTTGTGACAGATGCAGAGAGGCAAAGTGAGGTCTGTTATTCATGTCAATATCCACCAAAGGGGAAAAGGGGGTCTGACCATCATGTTGATATTCAAAGTGCTTAAATATCCAAGCACCAGCACTAAATTGTATAAGAGTTGCTTCAATTTAACACAAGATTTGAGTTTATTTAACCCCAGGTTAATTTAAGGTATAATTTTTAATAATGGGTGCTGAATAAGGAAATATGACATCTTATGAAATAAATGATGAAATTTACTTACATAAAAAGTTAAAAGTTAAAAATGGACAAAGTCATACACATACTTATCTCCTTAAACAAAAGAACAAAGCTATATTTATCACATACTGACATAAAACAGGGGGTAAATTATACTCATTATCATATACTAGCATTAAAGAGATATATCGTAACTTTAGTGCAATAACTGGTTAACTCCTATTAAATTTAGAAGGACTTAACCCGTTACTGCACAAAGGTGACAATATCTACATTTTTTATCTGATATACTTACACAAATGAGGGATAAAGAACACGTTCAGCAAATGCAGCCATGCCAGCGAACAGTTGGTAATCTACTTTGGTACTCTCTGTTATATTTAACATGTTAAGGACATCTTGAACTTGTTCTGAGGTAATAGTGTTCACCAGGACATCCTTCAATGACCGATCCAAATCCTAGAATAAATAGAATATAATTATACATGTATATCAAAGTCTTTATTTAAAAGACAAAATTATAGAACTAGTCTTGATAATAAAGTTCTTAAAGCCAGTTTTTAATGGTGGTGGTATTGGTAGTTTTCATTCCAGATCACGACAGTAAGCTACATTGACTTCACCAGAGCACAGTTAAGCCACTGTCAGATCTTAATCTTAGATATAACTGAAGTTATAATTCTGCACTTTGTATCATCACTTTCCATTGTATAATCGTGACATTTATATTACAGTTTTATATACATGGCTTCTGTCAATTTATGAAGAAATCTCACTTTTTTGTCTCAAAAAGGAAGTTTTCTGTATTATAAATTCATTATAAATATTCCTGACAGGTTATATGACTGTATACATGTATAAACAAGTTGGTTGCAACTTATAACCCTTATAAAAGTTTATATTATATTCGCATTTATATGCTATGACATAATTATTGTTACATTAACTTACTTTGTATACAATAACTTGAGTCTTGTCTTTGTTTTTCAGGAATATTTTCTGGTACAAGTTTTGACGTCTTGATGTTATAATACAATGTTTTCTTACATACTCTTGTGGGGTCATTTCTGAAATCAAAAAAAATTATATCATGTCAATCTTTGAGTTGTTTTATTACTATATTATTAGTATAAGATGGGAAATAAATCTTACAAGTAACAGATTTCATTTCTGGTAAGTCAAGGGCAACAACTCTTTTGTTAGACAATGAAAGTCAAACAAAAATCCTTTTTGTATCATGGTTTAATAAAATTTTGCACTCAAAAACCAATAGATGGATTTGAATTGCACTGAATCTAAAACAATACATAGGAAATGATTAGGGGAACAAGAGCTGTCCGTAAGACAGCGCGCTCGACTTTTTTATTGCTTGCCAATAAAAAAAGTTTTTGCAGTAAAAGGCAATACAAGTTGGGAATCATGATTGTAAACAAGTATTCCAACTTTCAAATTAATATCTCAAACAGTTCAGTCAAAAAGTGGACTGGTACTAAAAACTTAACCAAGATTCTAAGTCGATAAAAGGCCTTAATTTTTAAAACAAATCCTTGACAGAGTTACCTTCTCTTGCGTACAGATGGGGGTAATGATGTGAAATAGCATTAAAAGTTTCAAAGCAATATCTCAAAGGGTTAAGGCAATAAGTGGATTTTACCCATATTCAATGTATTTTCTAAGTCAAAAAAGGGCATAATTCTGTCAAAAACCTTGACAGAGTTATGTCCTCTTGTCTGTTGATGAAGGTCGTGATGGTAAACAAGTATGCGTCAGTTTCAAAGCAATACCTCCAATGGTTTTGAAATAAAGTGAGGTGGTACAAAAAACTTAACCAAGCTCAATACACTTTCTAAGTCAAAAAAGGGCCATAATTCTGTCAAAAACCTTGACAGAGTTATGTACTCTTGTCTGTAGATGGAGGTTATGATGGTGAACAAGTATGGTAAGTTTCAAAGCCATACTTGTAATACTTCTGAAATAAAGTGGGGTGGTACGAAAAACTTAACCAAGGTGTGACGCCAACGCCGACGCCGACGCCGGGGCGAGTAGGATAGCTCCCCTTTTCATAGAAAAGTCGAGCTAAAAATGGTAAGAAAATGTAAAAAAAATTAGCAGCTAAAAGCTTTGATTCCAGTATAAATGTCCCTCAAAGCTACAATAATAACTGGTGTTATAGGTCTGTAATTATCTTCACATATAAAATTCAAAAGAATAACAGTAACTTTTTTATGCATGCCTGACAAGATTTTAGTTTGATTTTGTTGGAGGCTATAAGCTATATAATGAAAACTCTTGAAACCGTTCCTGCAACCAATGTACTAAGCAATGAATGTAAATTTTTTTGCTAAAGTAAACAATGGGCACTTTTGCTATTAAATCTGAGATTCCTGTATTCAAATGGGCTTGGAGTAAAGTTTAAAGTTTCTAACAGTTTCTTCAAATTCATGATTTTTTTTTTGTTTTTACAAAGTTTAAAGTTAAAGTTTATTTAAATATTTCATAAAGAAAAACAAAATCAAAAGTATATCTTTCATTTTTGAAACATTGTTCAATGAGATAATTCATACATTTACTTATACCCTGTCATAGTATTTCTTATCCATTGTATACAGAAAATCTCAGCGGATCCCTTAACAGTGAACTATTTACATAAGATAAATATTTATTGCTTTAATACAGGTCCTCATTTCAAGTGAAGAATGGCTGACAATGATTGAAGTGAAGAATGGCTGACAATGATTGATCTATGTCCTATATATCCACTAAGCTAACATTTGTTTATATAAACTCAAAATAAAAACCATTTCAAATATTGTGTTATTAACACTTAAGAAAAGTTATTAACATCATTCTGGGGTATTGAATGTACATTTTAATAAATTTTTTGGAAATATAGAAAAATAAGGCAATAATGCCAACATCTACAACAATAATAGTCCTCTTAATTTATATTGTTGTTTTATTGTTGTTGTTGTTGTTTATTGTTGTTGTTTTTTGTAAAAAGGTAAAAAATATTTTTGGCTCAAAATACGGGTAGCTAGAAAGTGATGAATATAAAATATGGTTATGGGGACAAGTTAAATGAGAAAAACATTCAAATTCATGTAAACTCTCCCAATTCATGTTGGTTACGTTTGAAATGTTTGTAAGCTTTACAACATTCTCAAGTCCTTATCAAACAATAATAAATAAAGGTGTTTGTATTATTTAATTTACAAGATAGCAGTGCTTGAAGTAGAAAAATCTTTTTTAGATCATATATTGTGATCAGATAATACAGTAAATATCATGGTACGAGGGTTCCATACCATAAGGTATTGCCTGACCCTCCACCACTTAAACCTGCTGGAACATTATTGTGATTAGCCACCAGTATAGGGCCAGACCAGCCTGCATGGACTAGGCTCGGCTCTGTCATTTGGTAGCTCATTTTTTCGTTTGGTAATTTGAAATCAATGACCAAAATTTAAAGCAGGGTAATCCATAACACAAATTTAACAAGGTTAAGCTATTGTGGCTTAGTGGTACATGTATAGGTGTCTGCCTCTCAACCCATGGTTCATGGATTTGAGCCCTAATCGGGTCACAACCATGTTTCTTATAATAACACCGGTAGAGGTTGGTTTCAGAAAACTCGAAAGTGATTTATATAAGTAGCAAGAACTTGTTTTGCAATCAACCTTAAATAAATATGTTTAAACCAAACCAAGGTATTGTATAAACGTACTCTCCTGTAAATCACAACAAATATGTTGTATACGTTTATTTTTTGTATATTGTTACAATTACATATCACACTGTCTATAATAACATTATAATATTATATAGGTAGAGATATAATTCAATGAGGTAGATTTCACTTACTTTCAAGTTTTTTCATGTCCATTGGTAACTCAAACCTGCTTGCTTGTTGTGAAAGAGCCAACCTTCCTGAAATCCAGGACTTGATTTGAGGAGGGCGCTGCAAAAAAACCATTGAATTGTACATGTATATAAATCAAAGCAAAAAGGTTTATTCGATATTCCTTTTCTCTTTTTTTATTGGTTGGGTTTTTATTCATTTTATCACTGTAGATGACATATGGACACTTTCAAGCTGCACAGATCAGTTAGTGTCACTGTAATTGCACCTTAAAAACTTTATTCTAGGGTTTGTATGAATGTTAATATATTTATTTTAAAATATCTCAAATGTTGCAATATGTTAAACAACAAAGACAAAGAAAAGATTTATTCTGTTGCAATAAGCATAAAATTCTGTGTAAAGATAAGTACAAAAATTGTACCAACCTTGATGTCTTCTATTCCGTTCTGTTCCATGTTTGACCAATCAAATTCCGCTCTGTTCTGTTTTAATTGTTCATTTAACAACTCCTGATGCAAAAAATAAAATAACAATGTTAAAACTGTTCAAAATGCAAAAGATATTGGTCCCATGAGTTATAACATTCTTTATATTAAAATCAGTGAATAAATAGTATGGATTTAATTCTGAACACATACTTAAAGGCTCAAGTCATTATCATGGTGACTAAAGGACCTTAAAGGCACATTATGCCTCAAAAACCAATATTTTTCCTTTTTTTAGAAAGTGTAAAAAATGATTTCAGAGCGTTTAAGATGCTTATCACGTGTAATTTGAAATTATCTGTTGTAGACGTAGCACAATGCAAACAAAGTAGTAATTATGACTTCCATACAAAATACTCCTTAATTTTAAGAGCACTAATTGCCAAAAGGCAATAGAAGAAAAAGATGGATCAGGTTATTGGCAGATGAGTAACCTTTTGGAATATATAACAGATCATCAAAAACTAGAAATGTGTCCATAGGACACGGGTGCCCCCACCGCGCCACTGTTCTGTCAATCTTTTAACTAAGTCAAGGGAAATAACTCTACAAATACTGGATAAATCCACAAGCAAAACCCCAGGTGCAAATCTAAATATGCTGAGCAACCTGCCCATAAGGTTTAATGACTATGTCAAATCCTTTTTGAGTAACTTGCGACACAAGTTGAAAATTGCAAAAATTTTCTAAGTGAAGGGCAATAACTCTAAAAATACTAAATAAATCCAGACGAAAATACCTGGTGCACAACTGCACATGCTGATCAATATTCCTGTAAAGTTACATGACTCTAGGTCAAATACTTTTTGAGTTACGTGCAACACATGTTGAAAATTGCAAAATTTTACTAAGTCAAGGGCAATAACTCTGAAAATACTAAAAATATCCACATGAAAATACCCAGGTGCACAACTACACATGCTGATCAACATTCCTGTAAAGTGTCATGACTCTAGGTCAAATACTTTTTGAGTAACATGCGACACAAGTTGAAAATTGCAAAATTTTACTAAGTCAAGGGCAATAACTCTGAAAATACTAAAAATATCCAGACGAAAATACCCAGGTGCACAACTACACATGCTGATCAACATTCCTGTAAAGTTTCATGACTCTAGATCAAATACTTTTTGAGTTACGTGCGACACAAAAGTGAACGGACGGACGGACGGACGGATGGACGGACGGAAGGACGGACGGACGGACAAGGGTAAATCTAAATGCCCGCCACTAACGTGGGGGCACAATAAAAAAAGCTTTTAAAACATAAAAATAAAAGCAATTCTGAGGCATAATGCCTGGCCTTTATTTGACCAAGAAATTAAAATGTAGTGTACTCAGGTGTCTTCCTCAAAATGATCATGGAAATAGTGCAGCAACATTATGAACATAATTTGTCACCTTAGTGCAATAACTGGTTAACTCCTGTTAAATTTAGAAGGACTTAACACATTACTGCACAACGTTGACTATGAAATCAAGTTATAAGAATATAGTTAACATGTCTGCCTTCCAACTCAGAAGTTACAGGTTCAAAACCAACCAGGGTTACCAATGTTTCTTCATATCAGCTGACCCATGTTCACTAACTGAGAATAAATGGTGGAAAACTTACAGAATTTACTAATACAGAAAATTAATTTAATGTAAATACTAAGATTATTTTACCCCTGGGTCTGGTCTGTATAGATCATCTTCATGTTCTATTAAATGTTTCTTCGCTTTAGTTTTCTCTTTTCTTGTTTTCTCTTTCTCAATATTAGTGGGTAAATCAGGAACTTTCAGGTCTATTTTTGAGTCTACCTTGTCACTGAAATGAAAAGAAAAATAATCATAATTACTAGAATTATTTCACTTCAACTACTAACTAGGCTCTAGCATTGTGTTTCATATACAATCTGTAATGCTTCAGTAACATAATATACAATTATAAAATCTGAAATAAAATAAAATGATCAAAACAGCATATTACATCATTACAATTCTGAAATAAAAGTAGACCTAATATATAAAAATATTTCAAAGCAACATCATACATGTATTTATAGGAATAAAATAAATATAAATTATTTTTCTGAAATAACACAATGTTATAATGAAATAGTTTATTAATTAATATAATGAAATAATACATATTCTGAAACATAGCACCAGCACCAAAATAACAAATTATAATTGTGAGAATTATCCTATTTTCTGAATTAACATTACTTTTTTCTCGTGAGAATAAGGCTAAAAATCCCTAAATATTACAAAAAGAAAAAAAACAAACATGAAATAAAACAAGGGTTTAAAATACATGAATTGTTTACTGACCAGAAGTTTCTGTATATTTACTCCGACAATACAATCTTAAACCAACAATCTCTTCTTGATGTGCAAATACATTTTCAAGTACCCAAAATCAGAAATGATATTTAAATAACTTTCTATATTCAGGTTATATATTTACCCTACCTAAATATAAATTTATTGATGGCCTCTCTCGCTGCTTACTTTAATATCAATTCAAATATTCTGCTTAAAGAGCCTGTCTCACGTATCTTAACAAAATCAATCTTAAATTTTACTTTAAAAATTTAATATATCTTTGAATATAAGTCCTACTGGCTTTTACAGATTCTACAGAGACTAATTCAGCTGGTCTGGCACAGTCGTGCCACCTTATCATGGCCTGCTCTGTCCACTATTCAGTTCATAGTTATGAAATGTTTTGGCCAGATCATGATAGATGGACAACTCCATTTATGATATCCAGCGTGTCACGGTCTTATTAACTTTGCTTCATTTGTATTATTAATTTGTCCCCGTTCTGAAAGTTTGGAGCTGTTCATTATTGATTTTTTTTATTATATATTGAACAATATACATGTATATTATACAGGAATTTTGCAGGGACTAGTTGGTGTGTTCTAGCGAAGGGGGGTATTCAAGGGAACAAAGTTTGACTGTATATTAAATTGTTAAGCTGAAAATTAGGAAGACAGGATTATAAAAGCTTGATAATGATGGCATGGGCAATTTAGTTATCATTATTAATATCATAAAATAAGGTTATCAACATGAAACAATATATGTTTCCATAGCAACCACTTCAATATATTATATTAAGTGTTATCCACGACCATATTGCTCTTTTCAATTTTCAATCGTCTTGGTTTCTTCATTGATATTATACTTTTTTGATGTCATGTCACAACCATAAATTGACACTGTAAAATAAAATCAAGGCCAAATCTAACAGTCTCTTTTTAACATTCTGAGACAATTCAAATCAGTTGTCTACTTTTTTTAAGTAAATTCAGGTGATATGCTTACAATTTGACATGACCTTCACCTTACATGTGACCTTTGACCTATGAACTTTAACAATTACTATTCAAAATTTCATAAGATAATTGTAATATTCATACAATGTTTGTAATTTTTAAATTCTTTGTATGAAAATCTTGCTTTAAATTTTTTCCAATATTATTTTAAAATTGGCAAAAAATATTAATTGAATAGGGGAAAAAACATATCGAAAGAAAAACATGTTTTTTTGTATTCTAAATTAACCTTGACAATGTTATTTCAATAACTCTAATCTATTTCAAAGTTTGACATGAAATGGCAAAACTGAAATTGACAAATTGGATCTTCCAACTTAAAAGATTCTTTGTTCGTTCAGATAAATTATATGACTGAAATGAAAACACCTGTAAATTTGAAAAAAAAAAGAAACGTGGGGAGGGATATTGTGATTGGTATAAAGATAGGAATTTTGTTACAATTAAAATTCAAAATATTTGTTTTCCTTACAAAAAGAAAAGTTAAATAAGGTGGTTTAAAGAATACAGTTATATCTCCTTTGAAGTTTTGAAGTCACACTGAATGTTTGCTAAATTTTTCAGTGCAAAATGAGAAAGAAAACCTTAGGTCCGCTTTCTTACATTATTTGTTTAAAAAAAAAAATCTAGAATAAAGATAAAATTAAGCTAAAAAGTCATAAAAATACAATTTTTCAATGTCAAATTCATTCCATCAAACCTTAAATCAATTTTCTTTCAATAAATCCAAGTAGTTACCACTGCAATCAAATCCGCTTATCAAAAATTTCAGGAAAATATCGAAAGCAACTCTTGAAAAATCAATCACTTAACCAATATCTTTAAAGTCCCATAATTCCTCTACAAATTCTCTATCCCATGGTAAAATCCATTTAAAATCCGCATTGTAAGATCATATCAAAAAGCAGAATGTCATATCCTAGCAGAAAGAATGCGCTATCCTTCACAGAGATTTACTTAACAATTGATCATTCCCGTTACTATGATTATAGATGGAATTTTTTGTCATTGTAACCTGAATTATGCGAAAGACGTTTAAATATTTCAATATTCGCTAAGATCAAATATCAACTTAAATCCTTCCCCTCTTCAATGATCAGTTTTAATTTAATTGAATTATCTTGAGCAAAAGTTGTTGTTGTTTATTTCAAATGATTTTTTTTAACTTAAATTAATTTGGATCTGCGATTTTGACTTTTCATGTTCATTGTGACAACTTAATCTTTTAAAAACTTTAAAGTATTTCTTTTTTTTTTTTTTTCAACAGGAATAGTACTAGCTTTGTCATCATCAGATAGTTTAGGCAAAGGTTCGAAACCCTGGAGACAATTTCCGTATACAATGTATTATAACTACAATTTCCTGGAATTTTTTATTAAACCTAATATTTACCATAGTGAAAAATTGTTCCTATATTCACTCTAATCACCGTAAGGTCAAATTTTTAGTTATTCATTGCTAAGTAAAAACTCAAACTGAACATTTATTCACTGCGGACACAATGTACACTTTAAACCGAACAGGAATATTGCCAAACTATCAGTAAAAATATGATGTAAAACACATATTATGTTACAAGCACTTTGCTCTCAATCTCTAAAACACTTTACTTTACAAATTTTTATACAAATTTATGTCAACAAACACAAATCAAGTATATTTAAAAATATTAGTGCAATTCCTAGATGTAAAAGAAAATATAAGTTACGAACATTGCTCTAAATCTCTAAAACACTTTACCATAATGTATCCCTGAAAATTTTTATACAAAATTGTGTCAACAAACACAAATTGAGATGGTCAATACTTTAATACAGTAATATGTTAAACAAACAAACTTTAATAGTTACCCCCCTCGCTTTATTTAAGTCACTTAAAATTTTCAAAAATTAGTAAAAGGATTATCAATATACGACTTTATACATTTTTACAAAACTGTGTCTCTAAATAACATATTTGAAATATAATCTTTAAAGGAACTCAACTGACATCCAAATTCCTCAAAACATTAAATTTTAATGTCTTACATAGATCAGCTGGGGCTTTCAACTCTGAAAGATTTTCAACAAAAAAAGAAAAATACCCATAAATGAATAAAAAAACAATGTATTTTTGTGCTATTCTTAGCCCGATTTGTCCCAATTTTGGACCTTTTTTAACAGTTAGAATAATTATTCTGGAAAAAAAAGAAGTAAGCCAATGATCTGAGATTTTATTGATAAAAGCTAAATTATTTGATGAAACATGATTAATTGTCAACCTAGTAAGGTTCGAACCCTGACCATCCCTGGGTTGAGTAGCAGACACTTTCATCAACACTTCACCTCACCACCTTAACACATGTCACTATTTGATTAAATATATTACATGAAAAAAAAAATTATACAACAATTTAATGCATTTAAATACTTACATAATAAATAAAATTCCTTAAATCTGCTATTCTATACACTATTGTTTTAAACTTCCATTCACTTTCAAGAAGATACAAAACTAATTGTTAAAAGACACATACGTCCAATTAAATCTCAAACTTCTCTTTCTTTTCACAGTTAAGATTTTCCTCGTTCTGTCGCCCAATATTTTTCACTTTTGTATAAAATTATCTCATAGATCAATTGTTCATATAACTTACAGCAAACATTTTTAGTAAAGCCTATGATATACCCCGGATTACGCAAGTCAATAGTACGTGAATTTTTTTTTTTCGTCCCAAATAAAAAAAATACGAAATGTCCGACACAATACCTTTGACAAAAGTTAACGTAAAATCTGATATTCAAATTGTGCGACAAAACTTATACACATTTAAAAAGCACACTGAAAAAGCCTATAGAAAGAAGATTTCCGCTCGAGTTAAATTTTATTCAAACGGAATGTACGTAAAAATGAAAACTTAACTTAAAGACATGATTTGTGAATGCACCCAATTGGAGTCATTAAAATATGATATTTACTTATGAAGGTTCAATATATTATACCTACCGTCTATTTAGAACTTATATGATTTAAAACATTTTGAATCCCTCAAAATAAAAAATGATCTGTGATGAATGAGACTACAGGATACAATTCGGAGGTTTTTTTTTTTCAAAGTGTATAATTATTTTCTTAAAGCAGCAGGCTTCCAGATTTATGTTAATCTAAAAAAAAATTGCAATGTTCGAAAATATTGTTAAGTGTAGAAGGTTATTTAAATGAAGCAGCATAGGCAAAGAAAAAAGTATTAAAGTAAATTTGAGAATTTTCTTAAACTTTGCACAATTAAAGATAATTATGACTGAAACAAATTAATAAAAAAGAAAATGAGTGGGTGAGGAGAGGGGAGGGGGGTCCACCATCCTACTTATTGAGTTATCTGCCCTTGAAGGTGAGTATTTTGCTCTTCTAGCTCAATTTTAATATTTCAATATTTCTACAGATATGTATATCATATGCTCAAAAATGTCTTGACTTAAATAAAATTTGTGTTGTTTAAAAGTCTGAAATGCGATTATAATTAACTTTATTGAAGTAGATCTAATACCATTATGACATGGTTGAAAATAAACATGTAATTTCAAATTTAGAAGCGGTAAATATTTAAAGAATTATTGTATCTTGATATTAGTACTTTTATTTGGCTCTCAGGGATTTTGTTAGAATAGATCATACACATGAGATCCAGGCCTTGAGGTTATAAACTTTTTTTCTGATGTTTGTATCAAATCTAAGAAATTTCAATGGTCAATGTTCATTCTATAGCAGTTTCTGACCAATCAAATAACTGAGATCTAAGTTAGAGCTTAAATAATTTCTTTTTAATGGCCAACCCTGGATGATCCCTTGTTAAACATGGCAGAGATCTTCTAAAATAACCCTATTAGAACATGATACTCTGTGCTGAACTTACTAATTAATAACCTTGCAGGAGTTCACTACAAAGGGAGAAAACTACAAAATCTCCTCACAAATCAGAATATACTCAATTACTTCCCTTCTATCATTCATGACTGTAGCTAAGGGAAACAACTCTTAAAAAAAAACACTAAATTTAATAAAATGCACATATTTACTTCCCTTGATCTTACCTTGTACTCAAATATATAACTAGTGAATTGGATATTGGAAACTGTCTTTTATTGACATTTTTTTTTTTTAATATAAGATGGCATGGTTTGAGCATAATTATAAGGAAAACATTGAGCATTCAATCCAACAAGCTTAAATATCAACACTATCCTTCAAAAACAAGGTATTTATATATGCATATGCAACACATGAATTAATACTGATTTGTCAATTTAACATAGATGATTTAATCCTAACTGTTGTACTGACTGATCTTGGTTTGCACAGGTCACATGGGTATTTTCATTTACTGCTAGCAGGCTAAGACACATCCAGTTAAAGAATGCATCATGACTTTTTCCTGACTATTTTATTGCTATATACATTAAAGATAGAAACAACTGAAAATTTTTATAAAGGCTATATTTCTGTACATTTCAACAAGAAGTGATATAGCCATAACCTTATAACATTCTCAGACTCTATATAAGGTAATTGTAGGTGTGGTTACCTTTCAGCTGAAGGCGTGTCAACTACTGGTACCTCCTCCACCTTGACTGGTTCTGCCTCCTTCGGCTCCTCAATGGGCTTCATCTTTCTCGTTCTCTCGATTGGTTTCTTTGTCTATAACATGTATCATAGAAAATTTTATTTTTATTTCTCAAAAACTAATTACCTTTGGCTTTACTTACATATTGGTTCAAGAATCTTAAAAATCTTTATTTCATGCTTTCCAGTGTTTTATTGTAATATATCAGATGATTATATCCTGATAAACCACTAATGAAATTTATAAAATATAATTTTCACTGTAGCCGAATTATATCTAAATGTGGATGGAAAGAAAATCATTAAACTAAATGGAATAACAGGCAGAATAATGCTGTCATGCGTAAATTTTGCTTCTTTAAGAAAAGAAAGTCGAAAAAATGTAACAAAGTTAGAGAAATTTAACAGAACTATATTTCAAAATTGATGATGTGACGTTATGATGTGATGACGTCAAAAAGGAGAATGCGCGACGTTACATGGCAAAATCAGTAAAAAATACTTAAAATCACTTATAAAGCATGAAATAAAAAGAAAATTTATTTGTTTTACATATAAGATTGAAATATATTTCCTTCGTGAAAACCAGCTATTATATTTTCACTCGTGGCTACGCCACTCGTGGAACTATTGCATCTGGTGTTCACTCAGTGAAATTATATTTCAATCTTACATGCAAAACAAACAAATATCCTCTATAATATTAGTGTTCATATAAAAATTTTATGATGCAAAAAAGTATTGAAAAAAATTTTGCTCTTTAAAAATTAATTACTAATCAGTGTTCAACCAGAATTATTAAAATGGTCTCAACCTTCTTTGAATTTGGGACTGTCCATTATAATTTTAAGGGTTTTTTTATACAAAAATGTTAAAAGCTGCATGAGAAGCCATCAGCAAGACAGTTTGTGCTGGCCTGGTTCTATACTTAAAGAAGTTAATATAAAGCAGAGTAGGGCCTTCAAGAGATAATCTGTCTGCAAAATGAATAATGAAAATCTGTGCCAATTTTGTTACTATTTATAGCAACAAGTGTGTCAATGATGGCATAATTGCATGTAATTTTTTCCACTAGCATGTGGGAATTATAAAGCTTTTCAACATACCTTTTTAGTAACACAGCCCCTCTTTTTAGGGGTGGGTTGAGTGGTGGGTAAGGGAATTTCTGATTTCTCTTTAGTTTGTTTTGGAGGTTCCGGGCTTGGTGGGGGCTGCCTTGGGCTCTCAGCCCGGTTGTTGTTCTCACTATCAGAGCTGCTGGGGACTGTCACTGACTCACCGCCTGTCAATGGCTGAAATATACAAGTATATAAAATAAGAATGTGTAATATATTAAATAAAAATTTATAATATTTCATGAAGATTTTAATTGATATTTGACAGGTACAATCAATGGTATTTAGATTCCTAATATAGATATTGTATTATCTTAAATGTTTTATGTTGCTTCTAACTAAGAGTTATCATAAGTTGCAGTCTATAAAAAAAGAAGAAGAAAGCCTATATCTTGCCATAATAAATTGAATACAATATATATTCAAATTAATGTTTTTTCTATAACATTTCCTGTAAGCATTTAATCACGTTTCTAGTTTTTTAATGTTAACTATATAAAATATCTTATTTTCTTAAATTACATGCAAGTAATACACTCATCATACAAAAGCATGCATTAAACGTAAAAAAATAAAATATTTTCATGAATTTCTTGACATATGGTTATGTGAGAATCTAACATTTGTCATATCATATAAAATTTTATACATCTTGTCCTAAAAAGGTTATAAAACTTTCCACATGCTCGATTTATAGATAACAATTTCATGAACTTGTTTCATAAAATTTTATATCTCATATGAGATCTTACATATGTATAAGTAGATTTTTATTTTGCTAAAAATGTAATACAAAAATTTTGAATACTGTAAAAATACATACTTTTCAAAACAGAAATGGAAACAAATACTTCAAAAACAATTTATCTATCCTTAAAATCAAAGAGCAAAACCGCAATGCACATCACTTTTATTTCTTTAAATGCTAAACAGACATCGGAAGTAGGAAACAATTCATTTATATCCATACCTACAGATTCTGTGGAGATAGCCAATAATTTATACCTACAGATTCCGTTGAGATAGCCAATAATTACGTGGGCAATATTGAACCATTTGTGGCAAATGTAATTAAACCATATTAACTTTGCACAGTAGCTGATCAATGGAAAACTTGCCTTCATAAATATTGAAATAATTGAACTGTCAAGATCAATGTTGTGCTGGGAACCAGTCAAGCAACAAAGTTATCAAATATAGATAATGAAGACCATTCCATAAATAGAGCTCTCACACCATGTTTGTAATTACCACTCTGACAGAGTATTTTTTTCTAATTGTAATTTAAGAGTATCTGACATTTTATTCCATTTGATCTTATCAACATCTTGCAGTTGAATTTCAGTGAAAAATTTTAGAAATAGTGAAGTATTATTCCTTATATTAATTTCTCTTCTATCAAATTCTGGATTTTTTCAAGAGAAAAAATAAAATTGATCAATGGCTGAATACTGCTTAAGGACTTATTCAATTCCGCCATATATAAAATCTGACACAGTCTGAAAAGAGCAGTAACACTGTCTAGTACTGGTAGCAATATTCCAAAAATGTCTTATATATAAATTGACAGTCTAAAAATTAAAGAGGTAACACAGTCTAGTGTACTGGTAGCAATATTCCAATTCAGTCTTATATATTAAATTGACACACTCAGTCTACATGGTCTAAGAATTAAAACGGTAGCACAGTAGCATTATTCCAATTCTGTCTTATATAAATTTTAACACAGTCTAAGAATTAAAGCAGTAACACAGTCTAGTACTGGTAACATTATTCCAGTACAGGCAATACAATTTCAAACAAATTTTTATGACCTTGGAATTAGAAAAGGTTCAGATATGACATTGAAATTACCATTGAACTGTTAGAACAGTAAGAATACATTGCTTTGGTATTACCTTAAATGAAATATTTAAACAAATCACCAGAAATTTGATATTCTCTCATTAACAATTCAAGAAACTACCACTTTCGAGCTTCCAAAAGAAAATTCAAAATATTAAAGTTGCTCTCTGCTATATTTGCCATTAAACCGGTGTTAAAGAACACCTGCAATTAAAGATCACCCTTCAAATAAGGGCCACTCTTCAACAACCCTTCATTGATTAAGGAGAACACAATAACCTCCAAATAAAGACCACCTGTCTGTAAAGGCCATGTTTGGTCTCTCCTTTAGGTGACCATGGTTCACAGGACTATTTTGCTTTCATGATTTTTGGGATATGATGTAAAACAAGCCCCTTAAAACAAACACTGACAAGTTATAGAGCAAGGTTCTAGCTGTACTTGTATGAGCCAACGCAAGATGCACTAGAGGTTCTGGTAAGGGAATTAAGGATGATACTGCAGTTGAACAAGACTCAAGGGTAGCTGAATCAAAACGATAATAGGAACAGGAATAGGTCTCTGGGCACATTAGATGAACCACAAATATTCTTAATGCTTAGATATATTACAGATTCATGACATGAAAGAAGTCTCAGTCAATGTCCGATGTCACAGGGTCAGGATCAGGTATAACTTATAGTGGTCACTTTGAGCTACCAACTGTGCCATATTATCTAAAGAATTTATGAAATGTCATAATGGTACAGCTGTTATAAATAAATGTAGCACCACTGTTTACTATAATATAATAGTTACAATTGTTGTATCAATGGCAGACTGTTTGTAAAAACTGTCTGACACATGGGCTATTACAGTCAACTTTGGATAATTCAGAAATAACTTTTAAGGCCCACGAAGCCTCAAAAATGCTATTCTTTTATTCAATTTTTAAGTTTTTTATTTTCTATTTTTGGTGTTCCATTACAGTTTTCAAAAGTTATTCACTGGCAATTTAGTAAAGCCATCTTTTGCTTATTTTGTCAATCGGCAATCAGTACAGTTATAGTAATGCAGTATTTTGCATGGAAGTTCGAATACCACTTTTAAATTTTGCTACCTTTATCAAAACTTTTACTAAATTTCAGAGCTTATTCCTTCAATGATAACTATTTTTTATTGCGTTCTAAATACATTTTTAAAAATACATTTTTACATGTGTTAAAAAAGAAAAAATTTTTACTTCTGAGGTTTAAAAGTCCCTTTTTAATCAAAAAAACAATGGCAAAAACCTTCCAAAAAATACTGATACATTTAATATGAGATGGAACAGTCATCATTAAAAACATTACTTAGAGATAAAATAAAAATCTTACATTCTATCAAACTCTCCAAATATAATCATATATGGCGTAAATCCTTAATACAGCCTCCTTTTAGAGTTGTCTCTTTTAGTTTCACATTTGTAACAAAAAAATCAACACATAAATTTTTTATTCCATTTTGTCAAATCATGAATGAGGTTAAATTCTGTGAATCAAAACATTGTCAATTTTAATGTGTATCTCCAGATTATGACTGCTTTGATAAGTATATCATTTTTTTGTTTATAAAAAATAATGCATTAAATTCTATTTACATATTGAAATTTTGAAAAACTTTCACTGACATGTTTTGATAAAATATAAAATAAGCTCCTTATGGTATCGCAGATATTCCATTCCCACCAACAAGTCAATTGACTTGATGCCGACACTTTAATATTAATGGTTTTGTTAATCAATTAAACTCCACAACTGTAAAACATCTACGCAAAATTCATATAATCATAACAGTGCCGTTCACGACACAGGTAGTGTATTGATTCCCCCGTACCCCATTGCACGCTGACAATATTTCTATTTTCACCATTGTAAACACTACAATAGGTCAGCTTGATTTAAAAAATTAATGTCGGCAATTCAAACGCACAATTCGGAAATAACCTAAGCAATCAATATCTTTATAGAAAAATTTTTTAAATTTAAAAAGAAAAAAAAATTTAAACATACAATTCTTCACTTTTTCCGGGGGTTTTTTGTTTTTTTAAATGGGGGGTATCCCCGTTTTATTTTTTTTTCAAATTTCATTAAAGTTAATAGTAAGATCAAAACATTATTTTCCAATTTAAATTGCTTGTGTATATATCGAAATAATAAATCAAAGTCTGGTCGTGAAAAAGCTTTTCATGTTTGAATTTCTCATCAAACGATTTTATACAAGATCATCAATGTTTATATTAAAATTGCCAGCTACTTTACAATGTTTGGGAATTGGGGTAATTTTCCCTTATTTTAAACAGACATGTTTGAGAATTGGGGTAATTTAACCTTACTTTAAACAGACAATAAGAGTTTTTACTGTGAGAAACATTGAAATACCCCCTGTAAAGTGCTCAAGACTCCTTCAATCCAAGAAGAATAAAACACTCTCTTTTGACAGTAAAACATTAAAATGTATTACTTAAAACTTTACGAAACTTTAAAAATCAGCTTAAGTAGTTTTCTTTTTGAACGGTACAATCATTTACAGATACAAATATTCTACCGGTACATCAGAAAATGTAATAACAAGCAAACTTCATACAATAAAATCCCCAAATCAGAAAAAAATGTAATAATAATTTAATTTTAAAAGAAAATACCTTTTTAAATCCTTTTAATGTAACAGTAAAAAGTTTATGTTTGTTATGTCATAAAAAAAACAAAACAAACAAAAGCTTTAAAATGTATGCAAATTTAAATAATAAGCAAAATTTTTAAAACAATTAGGAACCTACCTTACTGAATTATGTCTAAAATTTCCATAATGAATCCATAAGACTGTTAGATTCTTCACTGACTTATTTAAAGAGGGCAAAACTCAAGTGGGTAAATTTGACCTATGTCAATACTCAACTCCTTCATTTATTGACAAAAATCTGCATATTATAGACCCCTATGCGAGTAATATGCTAATAAGTTTATATTATGTAAGCTATATAAATATGTAATATGTGTCATTTAGATATCGCAATGTTGATGCTTAATTATATATACATACACATATAGTTCTAATTTCATTTTTTTTTTTTACAACTTGCAACAATGATTATAATATTTCTCTAAGTCCAGTCTCAATTTTTTTTTACAAACAATGCAAATAAAGTCCTATATGACCTAGTTTATTGGCACCTCCCCCCCAACCCCCACAATAGAAACCTTGACAAAACTGTTGTATTCCGACTCCAGAAGGTAAGCCTATGACACATATGATGACACAACAAGAGTAACCTACCATTTGTATAGTCACAAGAGTTACCTTACAAGTAAACTATGAACTAGAGTTATCCATTGTGGCTTATCAAACTCCTCACAGTAATTACCTCCCTTGACAGAATTTAATCAATGCCTTTGCAGACTTCACATGATGATGAAATTCATATGAAGTAACGTTGAAATTCAAATGTAAATATTGACCATTACACAGAAAAACATATTTCTTTTTCTGTTTTATTTTTAACTTTTCGTACCTGCGTTCGTTATAGTTTATCAAAAAATTATCAAAAGTATACAAAATAATGAAAATTAAATTCAAAAGCTAAAAAATATAAAATATCAGAAATTCTGATATATTGGACCATGGTGGCAGAGATCTATGTACTTATAAGGGGAGATCACTGCGTAGGAGATTGGCGGCTTATATCAACAAGAGTTACCTAACATGTGTTTTATCAACAAGAGTTACCTACCATTTGTATAATCACAAGAGTTACCTTAAAAGTAAACTAGAGGATGCTTTTGTAAAAAAGCCCATGTCTCCCCCACTGCTGAGAATAACTGTGAATGGACCTACTGACCCCATTAACAAGAGGGATCATCTGCTCAATAAGACCAATCATCCTATGAAGTTTGAGGGTTGTAGGTCTAAAGGAACTCTAGTTATCATCCGGAAAGGAGAAATTAACCAACGGTCGCTGTGACCTTGACCTTTGACCTACTGACCATTAAAACAATAGGGATCATTTGATTAATAAGACCAATCATCCTATGAAGTTTGAGGGTTGTAGGTCAAAAGGAACTCTAGTTATCATCCGGAAATGAGAAATTGACCAACCGTCACTGTGACCTTGACCTTTGACCTACTGACCCCAAAAACAATAGGGATCATCTGCTCTATAAGACCAATCATCCTATGAAGTTTGAGGGCTGTAGGTCAAAAGGAACTCTAGTTATCATCCGGAAACGAGAAATTGACCAACGGTCACTGTGACCTTGACCTTTGAACTACTGACCCCAAAAACAATAGGGATCATCTGCTCAATAAGACCAATCATCCTATGAAGTTTGAGGTCTGTAGGTCTAAAGGAACTCTAGTTATCATCCGGAAACGAGAAATTGACCAACGGTCAGTGTGACCTTGACCTTTGAACTACTGACCCAAAATCAATAGGGATCATCAGCTCTATAAGACCAATCATCCTATGAAGTTTGAGGGCTGTAGGTCAAAAGGAACTCTAGTTATCATCCGGAAACGAGAAATTGACCAACGGTCACTGTGACCTTGACCTTTGAACTACTGACCCCAAAAACAATAGGGATCATCTGCTCAATAAGACCAATCATCCTATGAAGTTTGAGGTCTGTAGGTCTAAAGGAACTCTAGTTATCATCCGGAAACGAGAAATTGACCAACGGTCAGTGTGACCTTGACCTTTGACCTACTGACCCCAAAAACAATAGGGATCATCAGCTCTATAAGACCAATCATCCTATGAAGTTTGAGGGCTGTAGGTCAAAAGGAACTCTAGTTATCATCCGGAAACGAGAAATTGACCAACGGTCAGTGTGACCTTGACCTTTGACCTACTGACCCCAAAAACAATAGGGATCATCAGCTCTATAAGACCAATCATCCTATGAAGTTTGAGGGCTGTAGATCAAAAGGAACTCTAGTTATCGTCCGGAAACGAAGAATGGACGGACGGACGGACGGACGGACTGACGGACGGACGGACAGGGCAAAAACAATATGTCTCCCCCCGAGGTGGGGGAGACATAATTATCAACAAGAGTTATCCCTGCAGTTACATCAACAAGAGTTACCTAACATAATAAGGACAATACTTAAGAGTTACTCACCTTGAATTTATTATCAAAAGCACCTTTATGATTATCAGCATCCCCTCTATCCTCCTTCTCCTCTGGTATAGACATGCCTGATCTAGCTGTGAGTCGGAAATAATAGAAAAAAATAATCATACAATAAAACTTGATAATCATTTCATCAAAATTTTTCTTTGTCACAGAAAATGACAAATGACTTCAACTGATATATTTTAAGAGCACACATTTTTTTTAAATATGTTAAATAATTACTAAGCCTTATTTGAGTTTACTATGTCTTAAGTAATGAATTATCACAACAAATCCACATATCAACAAGGTTTTACAATTATTAAAAGATTTACAATTTTTTTAGGCTTTATTAATAAATATCCAAAAGAAAAAGAAAAATGAAAATTTCAATATTTAAGTATAAATGAAACTACAATAGTATAAAAAAATGTCTTTGAAATTTTAATATTTCATTACCAATTTTTGACCTACAGTTGTGTAATAAAAATCCTATCTTAAAATAAAATTTCACTATTCTTATACATGAACAGTGCAAATTGTATAAATGTCCTCTTCCGAACAAAAAAAAACTATAAATGAAATGATTGTGACATAATCTTAAATTCATCTTTACTTGTACAATTAACAGTGACATATAAAAAAAACCTTTGCTTAGAAACCACCTTACAACAAGATCATTGATTTTAACCCTAAATCAAAACTATGATACAATTGTTTATTTTGAAGTTAAGTTTCAATATCAAATTAAAGCAATTAACTTTAACTCTTAAATCTATCAATCAAGTTAAATACAAAAATCAAAAATTTTATATCTAAATAATAGATTGACAGCTATAATTGCTGTTAGGTGTGGCAAAGCGGGATAGAGTTAAGGCATCGCATCTTAAACAATCAAACAATTCAATGCATAGTCTGGCAGCAATGTAAAAAAGCAACTACATTTCATAAAACTCCTTTTCCAAACTTTATAATAATTGAAATAAAAAGAAATAATACCTGAAAATGGACAATATATTAACGAGGCCATGAAATACATTTTGTATATGAAATATAATGTACATTACATTATATGTCTCCAAATTTTTTTATTTTAATTTTTTTAGATACCTAAGTTATGCAAAAAATAATACTAAAGTTTTTTTTTTTTAATTTCTTACTGTCTACATTTTGTAATAATGTGTGTTACCTAATAAATTATTTCTTAAAAACAAGTTCTAAAATGATAATTATATATAAATCCCTCCCTTATGTGTTAAAAGGGTGTTTTTCTGAAAAATTAGACCAACCCTCTTTTAGTTTATACAAATTTTAGTTTGTGATTGTGTTAGATTGTGTTGAACCTATAAGCTTATTGAAACACTCTGTTCCTGGAACCAACCAGTACTAAGCAATAATTGTAAAATTTCTTGCTCAAGGAAACTATGGCATGTCCCTGTAAGGGCTTGAACCCACACTGTCAGCAATCCCCTTTTGCATAATGAATCCATATAATCAGGCTTAAATGTACAAAATAATGCAATGAAAAATCTATTACTCTTAAATGAAGAAAATATGATCACCAGCAAAAAGGGAAAAATAAAATCTAATTTGAAAAATCAGACCTACACCCGAGGGAAAGTTGGGATGAACAAACTTTGCCATATAACCATTGCTTTTATAAAAATTTAAAGACAACAAGAAATGTCTAACGACACATATGCCCCCTTTCTAGCCCTTGACTCACATTATTGGTAATTAGAGAAACTTGCCATAAATGGGTACAATGAAGTATTCAATGATGGAAAAAAGAAAAATAATGAAGACTTTGCAATGAATAGTTTTCAAGATAATGAGACATTTAAGGCCCCTGTGACTTTGACCTTTGACCTAATTACCACAAAATCTAAAGGGGTCACTTATTAGTTATGATCAATCAATATTAGAAATATGAAGACTTTGTGATAAATAGTTTTCAAGATAAAAAGCGGAAACTATTCTCACATTTAAATGATTTAAGGCCCCTCAGGACTAGTGACCCAAAAAGCAATACGGGTCATCTGTTGGCTATGACCAATCAATATGTGAAATATGAAGACTTTGTGATAATTATCTTTCAAGATAATGAGCTGAAATCCTCTACCATTCAAAGACCCTGTGACCTTGACCTTTGACCTGGTGACCCCAAAATCAATAGGGGTCATCCACTAGTTATGACCAATCAATATGTGAAATATGACGACTTTGTGATGAATTGTAACCAAGATAATGAGCGGAAACCATTCTGACATTTAAGACCCCTGTGACCTTGACCTTTGACCTAGTGACCCAAAATCAAAAGGGGTAATGTACTAGTTATGACCAATCAGTATGTGAAATATGTAGACTTTGCGATGAATACTTTTCATGATAAATCAGCAGAAACCATTCAGACTTTTAAGGCCCCTGTGACATTGACCTTTAACCTAGTGACCCTAAAATCAATAGGGGTCATCTAATAGTTATGACCAATCTATATGTGAAATATGAAGACTTTGTGATAAATAGTGACCATGATAATAAGCAGAAATCATATAACCATTCAAGGCCCCTGTGACCTTGACCTTTGACCTAGTGACCCCAAAATCAATAGGGGTAATCTACTAGTTATGACCAATCAATATGTGAAATATGACGACTTTGTGATAAATAGTAACCAAGATAATAAGCGGAAATCATATTACCATTCAATGCCCCTGTGAACCTTTGACCTAGTGACCCCAAAATCTATAGGGGTCATATACTAGTTATGACCAATCTATATGTGAAAGATGAAGACTTTGTGATCAATACTTTTCAAGATAATCAGCAGAAACCATTTTGACATTTAAGGCCCCTGTGACCTTGACCTTTGACCTAGTGACCCCAAAATCAATAGGGGTCTTCTACTAGTTATAACCAATCAATATGTGAAACATGAAGACTTTGGGATGAATAGTTTTCAAGATAATCAGTGGAAACCATTCTGATATTTAAGACCCCTGTGACCTTGACCTTTGGCCTAGTGACCCCAAAATCAATAGGGCTTATATACTGGTTGTGACCAATCATTATGTGAAATGTGAAGACTTTGTGATGAATAATTTCAAAGATAATCAGCAGAAACCATTTTGACATTTATGGCCCCTGTGACCTTGGCCTTTGACCTAGTGACCCCAAAATCAATAGGGCTCATCTTCTAGTTATGCTCAATCACTTTGTGAAGTATAACGACTTTGTGATGAATACTTTACATGATAATCAGCGGAAACCATTTTGACCTTTAAGGCCCCTGTGACCTTGACCTTTGACCTAGTGACCCCAAAATCAATAGGGGTCATCTACTAGTTATGACCAATCACTATGTGAAGTATGACGACTTTGTGATGAATACTTTACAAGATAATCAGCGGAAACCATTTTGACATTTAAGGCCCCTGTGACTTTGACCTTTGACCTAGTGACCCCAAAATTATTATGGTCATCTACTAGTGATGATCAATCACTATGTGAAGTATGACAGTTTTGTGATGAATACTTTTCAAGATAATCAGCGGAAACCATTTTGATATTTAAGGCCCCTGTGACCTTGACCTTTGACCTAGTAATCCCAAAATCAATAGGGGTCATCTACTAGTTATGACCAATCACTATGTGAAATATGAAGACCTTGTAATAAATAGTTTTCAAGATAATCAGCGGAAACCATGTGGTCTACCGACGGACCGACAGACAGACCGACATTAGCAAAACAATATACCCCCTCTTCTTCGAAGGGGGGCATAAAAAAAGATAAAATAAAATCTGCTTCAAGTAATGGGATTTTTTTCAAAGAAATAATATACCAGTATAATATCTGTATCTATACATATTCTTTCGCCCTGAAAACAAAGTTGTAGCTTGATTACATACATGTAATATAGTGCAATCTCTGTAGAAAGGTCCCCTTTGTAGAGCAACAACCTCTGTTTAACAACTGAGTAACATTTATTCCAAAAATATAAGACTTCATAATAAATTTAACCTCTGCAGAGCAATACCCTTTCTGCAACAACCAAGATATCAACCTCACATAGAGGACATTGAATGAGTGTAGGTTCAATACTGAATTTTATAATTGAATGAGTTGTAGAAAAATTATATTACCCTGAAGCCTCTGGCTAGCATAATATTATTTTATTTCAACAAGTTCAATAAATTTAGTAATGAACCTACATGAATTTAATATTCTTTTTATCACACACCTAAAATTGAGCCATTTTTACCATTAAAATAATCATTTATTCATTAAGATGCCTTTAGTGTAACGCTTACATTTAGTGCATCTTAATAATATGCTTGTATAACGCAAGTGACGTCATGTCAAAATATATGCAATGCCGTGTAATACCATTTTTACAGAGTCATATCAACAACATGGGAACGTGGTAAAAAGGGTCAAGCTCTGTAGAGGTTGTTTGAATGTCTAAATAATAAATCAAAACTGTCCATCTTAATAACGAGCATTGCTTTGCTTATTATATTAACTTTTACATACCTAAAATTATAAAATATACTTGTCTTACTTCGAAATTGGAACTGCTCAATTCCATTTCAAGGGGTTTCAATAGAATGAAAACTTAAGTCAGGAACGTAATAGTATAAAGCAGCATGTCTCCAGATTCATACTAATTTTCATGAAAATTTTTTAAAACGTTTAAAAAAATAATACTTTGTCAAGTGAACAAAGAAAGTAATTTACACATTCAAAAGGTTAAGTTCAATCCAAGTAAGCTACCAAATAAAAGTCAAAATATGCAAAATAGCCCTTTTTGCATTAGTAAGGCAATAGAAAATGGTGATTATTACTCAAAAATCAGACATTCATTGCAAATACAGTGTAACATGTAAATCATAGCTTGAATTGTGTTTATTCTTATTTTCTTAAAAACTTAGTACATTTTTTCTTAAAGTTGATTGTCTTGAAATTTTTTGGCTCATCTAAGAGGCTTGCTATTATTAAACCTAGCCTGTATGTTGTCATGGCTCTAGAGTGGAAGCAGACGAAATCATTATTGCCCCTTGTACATAGGCAATATTTTACCAAAAGACACAAAATATCACAGAGTTAGAACTTTGATGATAAATAGTAATATAAGGGAGGTAATAAAGTATAACCCTAACTTTCTCTGAGTTACTTCCCTTCATCTGTAAGACTGATGAAGTTAACATATTAAATGATTTAAAAAAAGATTTTAAAAATCTAGCTAGCAAATCAAGTTCAAACTGGTGAAAAAAGTGACTGTTTACATGGTACTGAGAACTAGCTTTAAGCAAAAAAGAAAGTTATTCTCTAATTTCATGTCCTGTACATGTATCTACATGTAATAATATTGCATTAAATTTTTTTTCTCGATTTTTTTTTCTTTTTTTCTTTTTAAGCCCTATTCAGCAGAGTTTGTATAATGAACTCGCCTGGCTGTGAATTAAGGTCAGCCCATGAGCTGTTTTAAGGGATTGAATAGCAAAATGTATAGGTAAAGTTGCCATTGTATGGAGACTGGTCAGACTACACATAAGGAACAGGGTAGTCTGAATCTTATATACTCGGGTGGCACTGTGAGGTCCATCATAACTTAAACATATTTTTTTATAGCTTGATTGTGAAACAAGTTCTTGCAACTGATATTAATCACTTTCGAGTTCGCTTTCTGGAACTAACCAGTACTGGTGTTAAATGAGGAAATATGATCATGACATGAGTAGGGCTCGAACCCATGATTCCTGGGTTGAGAGGCATACACCTTAACTACTATGCCACCATTCCTTTAGGTTTGTTATAACCCAAGCTGGAGCTGAAAGGTTTTATTTACCTATATGAACAAAGGTACAGCATATTCATGCCATTGAAGATTGATTGATTGATTGATTGACTAACTGATTGATTGCTATTCTTTGTTTTTCTGAACTACCTAACCATCCATTTGTTAGTTTGTTAGGACGTTAGTGCACATGGACGTTCTAACAAGACTTGTACTTATGTGGATATTCTTTTTTTTCTCTATTGTTCTTTTAGCAAAATAAAGGAAAATATCCAAATAAAAGCCTTACGGAATGAATGACATAAAAGAGAAAGTACAGTTACCTATTGTTCCTCTAGCCACATAAGTTTTCAAATGTTAGCTCGCACAACTAAGAGACAGACAGACACAGCAACACTTTTTATTAAATCCCAAAATCTTGTTAAGTTCACTTATTAAGGAATCCAATACACATCAGATATATAACAAAATTTATACTATAAAAAATAAAAGCATTAAACAATTTTGCAAACTGTCTCAAAGTGCCTTCCACATGTGTCAAAAAAAATTTTTTTTTTATCACACTTGTTTTGTTATCACACAATTAATAAAACATAAAATTGCACTAGTGCTGATGAAATTAGCTTCTAAAATCTGTTTGACACTGCATGCAGATAGCCAATAAGTGCACAACCAATAACTTACAACTTAACAAATCTTCAGCTTTGGACCTACGATCGTCACTTCGATCCGATTTTATCGGAGAACTCAGTCTTACTTCTGAAAATTTTTTATTCAGTTTAAACATAATTGAGCCGCATCATGACAAAACCAACATAGTGCGTTTGTGACCAGCATGGATCCAGACCAGTCTGCGCATCAGCGCAGTCTGATCAGGATCCATGCTGTTTGCTTATAAACCCTATTACAAGTACCGAAACTGATAGCAAACAGCGTGGATCCTGATCAGACTGCGCGCAGGCTTGTCTGGATCCATGCAGGTCGCAAACCCACTATGTTGGTTTTGTCATGATACAGCTCAATTTTTGTGAAGGAAGCTTGCATCTTGTTAGAACCTGACTTCCCAGTCAAAATGTCTGGAACTAATCAGCACTTAGTGCAGGGTTGTCACTAAGAGGCAGCTGAAGGCCAAAATGGCTGTTTCGGCCACCTCGAAACTTGCTTTGCTGTATGTGATAAAAACCAAAAATGACAGCCTCAAATCAATGACAACCCTGCTAGTGTCATATGATGAAAAATGGTTGTGACCAAAGCATTGCTTGAACCCACCAACCCTGGGTTGCAGGAACTTATCTTCCAGCCATTGCCTTCCAATTCATATTTTTTTCCTACCTTCTTTAAAGAATTACTTATATAAATAAATAAAGATGATTAACATAAAAATAAATAAATTACTTTAACCCATCAACTTAAAAATGAATTAGAACCTCATATATACATGTGGTAACATATTTTGAATTTGATATTTAAGACAAATATTTGGATCCTGAGATATTTAAAGCAAACATAGTTCTATTTCAAAATAAGAGGTACTAAGAGTACAAACTTTAAAACAAGAATTGACTAGACATAAAAATGTTGCTCTATAGCAGAATATAAATTTCTATTAATTCTTTAGGAATAACAATACTGCTTCTTTTGTTGTGGAATGATAAACTTGGAACTACTTTTTATGAGGAATGATAAATTAGAAACTACTTTTGTTGTGGAATGATAAACTAGAAACTATTTTTGATGAGGTATGATAAACTATGTTTGAGGAGGAATGATAAACTATGAACTTCTTTTTTGAGGAGGAATGATAAACTTGGGACTACTTTTTTATGAGGAATGATAATCAAGGAACTACTTTTTGATAAAGAATTATAGACTAAAATGAGAAAAAAATACAAGTACAAGTACAAATGATAAACTAAGAACTACATATACTTAAATTAATTAAGGATAGTTTACATGATGTTATTACAGTTAATAAAGAAAGAAATTTACATAGAGCACTACATTCTCTTCACATATGGTTCTACACGAAAAAGATACATTTGTTGCTTAGATATACTTTTGAATGACAGAATGATAACTTTGGAACTACTTTTTATGAGGATTGATATGCTTCTTTCTAATGATAATATTAAAGAAGGTTACCTATTCCGGTAACCGGTTGCTGATTATCATCTTCTAACCGGCTGTCACCATCCAGAGAACTTGGGGAACCAGGGCGTCCTTCGGTGCCGCTTGGTCTGCAAATAACATTGAAATTCTATTTATAGACATTTTACTATGGTATTTATGATCTGACCTTTGAACTATTCAATTAAAGGTCATAAAATGTATGATACAATAAAAGCTCTTAAACTTTAATGCCTAAGGTAGTCATACAATTTAGTAATTATCCTCCATATCTTAAATTGTTTTAGTGCTGCTGGTTAATGATAATATTTTTCAGCACTGAATATTGTATTCTTTACCATTTAAGCATCTGTATATCTTATATTTTCTATATATAATTATATAAACCAGAAAAAAAATCAAAGTTAAGCTTCAATTTAACCCATTGTCTTTTCTTGTATAAACATTATAATTTTGATTGGTTTATTGAAATTGTAGGAAATGATTGATTGACATTCACCTAAATATATGAATACTGGAATTTATGGAAAAAAACAACAACTTTTTCTCTATATAAAATCTACATGAAACAACATTTACATTTCTCTTTATGAATTCTACAAGAAACAAAGTAACATTTTACCGTAAAATGCACAAAATAAATAATGAGTATAAGATACACAGAATAAATATAAAATGCACATTTAAATAAGAAAGAAACATGAATTTACACCCTAACTTAAGCTTGTATTAAATTGTTTAACTTAAAAAAAATATATACAAGTATAATATATAAACAAGAATGTCGAACGACACATATACCCCCCTTACTAGCCATTGACTCACATAATTGGTAATTTTATTAAAGAAACTTGCCAAAAATGGGTACATGGAAGTGTTCAATTATGGAAAAATCAACGGAAACCATTTTGACATTTAAGGCCCATGTGACATTGACCTTTGACCTAATGACCCCTAAATCAATAGAGGTCATCTAATACTTATGACCAATAACTAGGTGAAATATGAAGACTTTGTGATGAATACTTTTCAAGATAATCAGCGGAAACCCTTTTGACATTTACAGCCCCTGTGACCTTGACCTTTGACCTAGTGACCCCAAAATCAATAGGAGTCATCTACTAGCTATGACCAATCACTATGTGAAATATGAGGACTTTGTGATGAATTCTTTTTAAGATAATCAGCAGAAATTATTTTCACATTTTAAGGTCCCTGTGACCTTGACCTTTGACCTAGTGACCCCAAAATCAATAGGGGTCATCTACTAGTTATGACCAATCACTGTGTGAAATATGAAGACTTTGTGATACATACTTTTTAAGATAATCAGCGGAAACCATTTTGACATTTAAGGTCCCTGTGACCTTGACCTTTGACCTAGTGACCCCAAAATCAATAGGGGTCATCTACTAGTTATGACCAATCACTGTGTGAAATATGAAGACTTTGTGATACATACTTTTTAAGATAATCAGCGGAAACCATTTTGACATTTAAGGTCCCTGTGACCTTGACCTTTGACCTAGTGACCCCAAAATCAATAGGGGTCATCTACTAGTTATGACCAATCACTATGTAAAATATGAAGACTTTGTGATAAATACTTTTCAAGATAATCAGCGGAAACCATGTGGTCTACCGACGGACAGACCGACAGACCGACAGACGGACAGACCGACATTAGCAAAACAATATACCCCCTCTTCTTCGAAGGGGGGCATAAAAATATAACAATTTTATTATGTTTTGCACTGATGAAGGCATATAGCCGAAACATATGCAATAAATAATTACTGAATGTTCATATTTGTGTGGCTAAAAATGTCTATTTTTTGTTTAACTTAGTCACTATCCTTAAACCTATAATTTCAAAAAATTAAAAAAAAAAAACCAACAAAAAACACTAGAGGATTTATCAATATTGATGAAGTAACTACAACAAAGTTATGCGATTTATGATATTTCAATAAAAGTGAGGGCGTATACACCTTATACATTAAACTTCAAACTACAGGAGGCTTTACAAACTATACCATGTAACGCTTAAATATTTAATAACTGCAATATTAAGTTATACTGCACTTACACAAAAATATAATATCACATAAGGCCAAAAAAAAAATCTGAAATTTTGGACAAAATATAAATAACTGTTTTAAAAAATGATCATCTTTCTAATGTAAACATTGAGAGAAAAAACATTGCATTATATAATTTTATTTTCTGTTTTATATTTTATTCAAAAAAAAGCTGTGGAAACAAGACAAATTTTAGGCAAACCAGTAAGCTGAATTTAAGGTCCTTTTGGTGAATTAAAGGAACTTTTAAACCAAAAACTGAATTAAAAGTCCTTTGGCTAATCAGAAACTGAATTTAAGGTCATCGTTAAATCAGTAAAAGAATCTCATAAGGTACTTTTGTGAATCAGAAACCAAACTGAACTAAAGTAACTTTTAAACAAAAAACTTAAGGTCATCTGGTAAACCAGAAAATGAATTTAAGGTCCTTTGGTAAATCAGTAAACTGAATTAAAGGAGCTTTTAAACTATAAACTGAAGTTAAGGTCCTTTGGTAAACCAGTTAAAAAAATTATAATCCTTTGGTGAATCAGGAACAGTGAATTAAAAGACCTTTTAAATCAAAAAAGAACTTCTGGTCCTTTGGTTAACCAGTAAAAACATTTATGGTCCTTTGGTGAATCAGAAACTGAATTAAAAGACCGTTTAAACCAAAAAAAAACCTTTAATATGGTCCTTTGGTAAACCAGTAAAACCAAAAACTGAATTTTGGGTTTTTTGTAACTAATGTTAAACAAGAAACTGAATTTACGATCCTTTGGTAAATCAGAAACCAAATTTAAGGTCCTTTACTAAACCGGAAGTAGACATAGTTTATTTTTGGTCTCAAAATATTTTATTCAATTATTGACTTCTTACCTTGTATGACTTTGGTAGGCCAGAAACAGACATATTTCTTCTTTTGGCCTTAAAATATTATAGCCACCTATTGTCTGCCTATCTTTCCATGTTCAAGTTTTTTTGCATTATTTTTTTTCAATTGCCTACTTTTTTCACATCAAACAATCAATTGAATGCATTATTGATATCATTAAAGGCATACTCTAGCAGTCAGACACACACACAATATGACAAGTCGTTCAGAACTTAAGAGATTCATAAATCAAGTATGGTTGGTTTTGTCTTTTTTTAGACAGATTTTTTTAGCACTTAAAAAGCTAGAAATATAAATAATGTGAACATAAAATATAAAGAGTTATTTTAATTTATGATACACTTTTAGTTGTATGACTAGATTAAAGGTTTGATATTCTTATACAAAGATAGATAAGATAAAACAGTGTTTGCTTGTTTCCTTCCCCATGTTGTGTATTTACACATATCCACATAATTTAAATTAATCCATGGATTTTCAATATGATAGAAAATATTTATCAAATATATAGAGGATATTTGTTTAGTTCAGTGTAAGATCAGAATATATTTCACCGAGTGAGCACCAAAATGTATATTTCACGAGTGGCGCAGCCACGAGTGAAATATGAACTTTTGGTGTTCACAAGGTGAAATATATTTCGATCTTACACTAAACTAAACAAATTTTCTTTTTATTACATGCAAAGAAACGTTTTAAAAAGACATTAAACCTAATACTGAATGAAAAGCGCGCCAAATAATAATACAATGTGACGTCATTTACGACGTCACGTCATTAAGTTGGTACCCAGTACTGTGCACGCTGGTATTTCACTGAAACAACGTAAGGGGCTTAAATTCAAAACAGTGAAATTATCAAAGTGGTAATTTCACTGTTTCAAACAGTGAAATTACCAGTTTTAAACCACTGATATATTTCTATAAACCACCGAAAAGCATGTAATAAACATGGATCTTGAATAATACAGAACACATCAAAAAAATCCATGGATATTGTAACTATAATATAGAAAACATTTGTCAAATATCCAATAATTTTGGATCTTGAATATTTAATAATATGCATTATCCATGGATCTTGTATAATATAGAAAACGTTAATCAAATATCCATGGATCTTGAATAATAGAGAAAAAATATTTAATATCAATGGATCTTGAATATTATAGAAATTTTTTTATCAATTATCCATGGATCTTGTCTAATATAGAAAACATTTATCAATTATCTATGGATCTTGTACATTATAGAAATATTTATCAATTATCCATGGATCATGTATTATATAGAAAACATCAAATATCCATGGATCTTAAATATAAAGTAGAAAACATTTATCAGAATATCCATGGATCTTGAATAATATAAAAAATATAGAAAACATTTATCAAATATCCATCAAATTAAAAATTTACAAAGCAGAAATGCCATTCAATTTCACTGTACTGTTAACAATACTAAATCACTTCAAAATTTCAAAACATAATCCCCAAAACTGTTGCAAACTGAAATGAAAACCTTTGCAACCATGAACCTGTACCTTTAAATGAAATGACATTTCACATTTAAAACAAAAAGCATTATTATAAATCTCATAAAAAGGTAATAAAAATAAATGATGTGAGAATTTAATAAGCTTAAGTCTATTTCACCTGTTAATTGTAACCAAGCCCCTCTAGCCTCACAGGCAGGGGTCAGAAGAAAGTATGTAAAATGGGCCGAAATTTTACCTTCACTGCAAAGTCAGTGTAGTGGTTTTTGTTTTATGGAGCATATTAATTTTCTTTACCTGCAACAATGGGGCATTTTATATTTAATTGTCCCCAAAGTGTCTGGCCTTTGCCAGGGGATTGAAAATCCCAAAATCAAAGTCCCTAATATTCCCCCCTAGAATGAGAGGCCTCTTTTTTTGAATTGACTAGTGCAAAAAAATCTTCTGTTGAAGTTTTTTTTTTTATCTTAATATACCAATAACAGATTTTTCACTTTTGGCTATTAATAAGTAAAGGAGAGGATAAATGAAATTAAATGTGAACAGAGCAGAATAGAACATGGATGTGATAAATTGTAGGTTAAATATTGTGTATTAAACACCAAAAAGTCACACAAAAATATAGAATTTACTTATAATTATATCTAAGGAAACACAATCATCTTATTCTCTTTGATAAAAATGCAAGACAATAGGTTGTTAAATGTTGTCTTTTGAGCTTTGAACAAGTTTAAATGTAAGGTTACATAAGGATTTTGCCTATCCACAGAATTTTAGTGAGGATTACATATTTTATGATAATTTTATTGAAATAGTAATTATAAAGTGAGCAAGGAAGATGCATTTCTTAACTTAGTACATGGCTTCACATATTAACGTATGGCAAATTTACCATCTCCATAATATTATACATGTACTCCATATGAATATTCCCCCTCAGACAAAATGCTCCTATCAGATTTTAACTTACAGAAGAACTACATTTGACACATGGCTTTGGATTGGCTCAAAATTTTTATGACTTTCGCAAAGTTTATAATTTTGTATGGCAGTTTCACTTCAGGTTTTGATGATATACTATACATGAATCAATGCTCTAAATGTGTCTTGTGTGAAAATCAATTCTGCAAAACCAGTGTGAAGCTAGGAACCAAGAAAATATAATGCCTATGGTTGTGAAATGTGGGGTTTTGGTTTAAAACTTACATTATATCCTCTTTTATTTCAGGTATAGAGCTGCAATTGGTAAACAACAAAGTTATAATAATATTTGTATATATTTCAATGGTAAAGATCTGATATATTATTTTGTGACTCAGTGTCCTCATTAAGAAAAATCATTAAAGTGTTTCAATCTATTTATACATTATCAGAACCACTGAGAAAATCTGCCTAGAAAATCATAAAATGAGAATATTGTTGTTGTTGTTATTTATGATGTTTTTCTAACAATATTTCACTTACAATTTAAGATACATGTATATGTGTTCATTTAATGTCAGATACAATGAAACTAAAATCAGTATTTAAAATTCTTTTCTATTACAATATCTAGAATTCAATAATTAATTAATTAGTTTTCTGTAAAAATACTCTTTCATCTATTACAAAAAATTTGAATGTTAGAAATGTATATGTGTTCATTTAATGTCAGATACAATGAAACTAAAATCAGTATTTAAAATGCTTTTCTATGACAATTTCTAGAATTCAAGAATAAATTAATTAATTTTCTGTTAAAATACTTTTTCATCTATTACAAAAACTATTGAATGCTAGAAATTTAAAGTTTACTATATGGAAGGAATATGTGAAGGGGTGTACACAAAAGTGCATAGGAAATATAAATATCTTAAATATGTTTTTTTACAAATACAAGACTGTATATTTGGAAAAATAATGAAAAATACATAAAGACACCCTGCATATAAACTACCCATGCAAAAATTCACATCTAACAAGAAGTGTTTCATATTGCAAAACAAATTTAGAAAAAATTGAAAATTGTGAAATATCAATTTCACTAAAAAAATTAAAAAACTGTGTTTTACAAGAAACTATTCAATCCCAACATGCCATGTGCAAAAAATAATTATCATAAACATTAAAAAACATGCATGAATAAGAAATGGTTCTGTAAAAGTGACATAAGTGAGAGTATTAACTGATCATCTAAATGTTTGTATCATACTTTTTTTTTTCTTAGATATAAACAATATACCACATCTGACAGACGAAAAAGGCTTTTACAGTATAAATTATATAGTACTTAATGACTTCATGAAAATATTTACATTTGAATAATATCATCAACAGCAATTCTGAGTTCTCCTATTTTTCTTTTCAATCCTTAGACAAATTTTGGACGATGAAATAATTAAGCTTGTAAAAAAATCACCAACACTTAACTGATTTTACATAAAACATGCTGTAAATGAATATATGTAAAAACTGTCCCAACATGCAATACACTTATATTGTTTATGCAAATGTGTGCAGGGTTAACCTGATGTTATTTCTGTACAACCCTCTATTGTTTTTCTTCTCCGACAACCATTTTTCAATATCGTTACTGCTTCAACACAAATAATTCATTTACTACATCCAAAAACTATCAAAGAATAATTTACATGTATACAATGAATAAATAACATTTACAGCAAAAATAAACCAGCAATATATAAATATGCATATTCATGACTCAAATAATAAGTCAACTCAAGGTATAGGTCAAAAGTTGTGTAACTTGAATCATGCGAACTGTCATACAATTTGAATTCTGATTGGACAATTTTGAATTGACCAATCATAAAGTCTCATTTTTGGATTGGTCTACAGATTCAGTCAAAACTTTTAACCTTCACCTCAAGTCTTTGCTAAATATAAAACAATTTCTATTGAGTCGTACTGTTAATGGCAAAACCTGAAAATAAATTCACCAATGATTTATATATACAGTTGAAAAACAAACAAACAAACAAACAAACAAACACACACACACCAGAGCGCTAACACATGTGAATGGTTGAAAGCTTGGCAATGGTAGAAATAATTTTGATGGTCGTCACTCTAGCCATATACACATGTATTATAGCACATAAAGCATTAAATAGGCATGGTATAATCGGAAGAATTTGATAGGAACTTTGTTTTTGTGAGCTTGAATAGTAGGGAAAACAGTGTGACTTTAACTATTATTAGACTTGAAGTAATCATAAGTGAATATAGATATAGTAACAGACTAAGCTAAAAATAGCCATGGTGACAGACTGTGTTAAAAATAGACATGGTGTAAGGTTGAGTTAAAAATAGACATTGTGTTGGAATGAATGTCAGATATGTATCTATTCGTAGACATGAAGAAATACTGAGTTACAAACAGGCATAGACAGAGAGACAAAGTGTCAGCTATGTGTTTATATGTAGATATGATAAAATATTGAGATATAAACAGACATTGTGTAATGTTCAGATATAAAACAATTTGGTGAATCTATGACGTCAAGTTTAACATGTTTTATAGGAGTTATATACTGTAGATAAATATAAGAAAAAGATAATTATTCTGTATGTTGTGAATATTTTAGCTTAGACATTGATTAATTGGTGAATATGTATAGTATGGATCTGCAAAACAAATAATGTCAAAGATCATACTTAATGTTACTGTGTTTAAATGTATCATATTTAGGACTTGAATACTTATGTGCTTAGATATACCACAATTAGGACTTGGGTACTAAATGTTGGTGTGTTTGGATATAACACAATTAGGATTTGAGAACTTAATGCTGGTGTGTTTAGATGTACCATATTTAGGACTTGAGTACTTAATATCAGCATGTTTAGATATACCACAATTACGACTCGAGTACTTTATGTTGGTGTGTTTAGATGTACCATATATGGGACTTGCATACTTAATGTTGATACGTTAAGGTGTTTTTTGGACTTGAGTATCTACAGTTGTGTGTTTAGATATAAATGTAACAAATTTAGGACGTGAGTACTTTATAACAAGACAAAGAATTGATGATGAATAGCATTTCATTATTTCATAAATGGATGAAATGTGATAGTTATTGGTGATGTTCATGTATAGGTGAACATTGATAGTTTTCTAGAAATGTATTTCTAGAGTTCTATAGATGGTTGAATGATGAATTATTTACCATGGATTACATTATGGAATGCATTTCATGAATGTCTTCACAAAGAAAGATTTAGATGCATATGACTGTTAAATTTCTTTCTATGGATGGTTGAGTGGAGTATTATTTAATTAGCAGAGATTATTCATATAAGGTAATACTGTACATGGATTGCTTAACAGAGAAAGTTTTCATATGACTGTTAAAAGAGTTTTATTTCATGGATGGTTGAATGTGGATTATTTAGCAGGGAAACTTCAGCTGACCACTTACTCATTCACTGTTTCAACCTCGTAATCTTCCAACTTTGGAGAATGTGTCAAGCCGCCCCTAGAACTATAATTTCATAACAATACAATCCTAATGTAGATCTATGAAATCTTATCTTAACTATAATTATGTTCTTTGAATGTAAACTTAGTAAAGTACACAGACAATATTCATTTATTTGTTTTTATAAAGTGACATTGGATAATAATTCTCAGCAATATTTAGAATATACAATAAAATAACCCTGTATTCTTTGATAAATTGCATAAAAAATATATATATGACCATACCATCAGGACCTCCCAATGAGTAAAATAAGTTCTATTAGTACCATTTCTATAATTATATAGATAAACCTCAAAAAATATTAACCCCTCTAAAAGAAAGTTCTAGGATATTCACAGACAGATTTTAAGGCACATTATGCCTAAGAAATTAATAATTTTGTTCTTTATAAAAAGCAAAACAAGACTTTTAAAAACATTTAAATAATGGTTTTAGGACATATTAGATACTTATTACTTGAATAAAGTAGCACTTGAAGAGAATTTTTTTGTCATAATAGTAGCAAAATGTAAACAAAGAAGTAGTTTAACTTCCATACAAAATACTATATCGCTATAATTATACTAATTGCAAGAAAACAACAGGAGCTAAAGATGATTCACGTAATTGGCCAATGAGTGTCTGTTTTGAAACTAAAATACGATACCAAAAATAAAAAGCTTTTGAGAAATAAAAATTAAGCCATTCTTGAGGCATATTGGCAAATTATAAAGTTACATAACTATAATTATGCATTAAAAAAACAATTTCCTTTTAAATTCAAGCGATAAAATAAATGTTATAAAAATTTGATGCTGGAAAATATCAACTTATGGGCTAATTTTACAGATATATTGATTACAATGTCCTATGTTTTCATTGTTTTAGCAACAAAATAACATGTCTGTGACAAATAAAACTCTGAATTCATAAACCAACACTGAAGACAAGAACACAATGGTCTGGTTGATATGGCATTCCATATTCTGAATACATTTCTAAATAATAAATAAAAGTCTGTGTAAAATAAGTCTACCACTAGATTGTGGTGTGCTTATATAAGCATTAGAACTATTGGCCTTAAAATATCCTTTTTTTTATATTGAAGGGCTATCCCATTAATTTGTCCTCAACCAAGATATTTCTAAAGACCAGGCATGCGTTTCATAGTTAGTCCTAAGTCTGAAACCAGTCCTAAGACCAAACTGAGACAATTTTGCGTTTAACAATTTTGAGTTTCAAAAAAAAACATCTTAACATACTAAATTAATGACTCCTATTTCATAACTCTTTTAATTTCTGAATAGCAATACAGATGAGCAAAACACATTGCCAATAAAAAGGTCTGTCATTGTATAATATTTCTTAACTTTCCTCAGGAAAATGAATTGACTTTAATTTTAAGTCTACAGTCTTTGTAAAAACATATTGAAACGGTATTAAGTTAGTCCTATTAAGTTGGTTTTATGTCCTAGGACTTAGAATACACTTAAGGCTTTCTATGAAACACAGCCCTGGTTCAACTCTATTATAACATATCAAAATGGCCTCAACCTACCTAGCATTACTGGTCTTCCTATACTTGCTTATAAGCCTTCCTTCGGCTGATTCCATAATAAACTCCACATCATCATCAAATTCCATATCACGAAGATCCTGGGAATCCTGGACATTTGTTTGTCTGTCGTGCAACGAGATTTGATGAACAAAATTGCAGAAATGTGGAGTATGGTTTCTATATACCTGTTATAAATAATGGAATAAACCATCATATGATAATTATCTGATGGCTTTAAAGAGAGAGCTTTAAAGCAGTTATCTTGAAAAAAAAACAAAAAACTTTCATTTACAAAGGCACAAAAATATTATGCCAAGTATCATTATTAGCCTTAAACTCTAAATGAAGAGCATATGCTCATTGAATTTTATATTTAATCATAAAATAATGGAATAAAATATGATAAACAAGATCAACAAGGAAAGGGGGCGTTCAATAAACTCAAGATGATAATTATCTCAGGGCTTTAATGAAATTTCTTCTTCCAAAGAAAGAACGTTTTATTTACAGCTATATAAAACATACTTGCGAAATATCACGATTATCTTAACTCAAAAAGGATAGCATACATGTATGCTCAGTGGATTGCTGGCACATTTGATAGCACATCTGATATGTTTTGCTGTGGGGACAAAAACATTTTCAAGAATTTTCATACCTTAACAATTATTTATGTAAGGAAATTATCAGCAAGCAAATAAGTTTCATACAAATTGAAGTCATAACTGTAAAATAACAAAAACAATTCTTTGATATAAATTGATCCTAGTTTTTGATAATTTAAAGATGTTTCTGACAAATGTTATAAAAACTGGCAATATAATTTAACTTACATAACTAGGTCTGGGTATATATTGCAATTCTTTTCTCTGAAATAATACAAAAGAAAAATGTTTGTTACAAAATACACATTTTTATGACCTTATCTTATGAAAAGCTTGAACAGTTACATTGTGATTTATTTGTAGCCAGTCTGCTTTCCACTAAACACAATTTGTCTGTATTTCTATGAAAACTAATTAACATTATTAATTGATGGATTGTTGACATGTTTAATATTCATAAATTCATTTTCAAAGCAAAAACAGAATAGAAATAAATGAAATACCTGAATTGTTATAATCAATAACTTAAGTGTATTATTTAAATCATGATTTAAACAGAAATAAGGAATGTTTAAACTTAATAAATTGTTACATTTATATTTTTGAACACCAGACAGGCATTGATCTTAAATAATCATACAACAAGGTTGTGAGCATAAGTTACTTATCACATAGGACATAAATGTTGTGTTATGCCCAGGCTACAAGTGGCAGTGTTTAATTCCTGCTTGAGACTAATATCTAATTAAGGTTATAGTGTGTAATGCACCAGTCATTGTGTAATCATAGCCCCCTATCCCTGTGGAAAACTGGGACTTGACTCAAATCCGTGGTACATGCCCTGATCTGTGGGAACTGTTAGATGCTTACTGCCTAAAAGCCCCAGCATTGTGAGTGGGTTTGACTTATTGGCACCAAAACAAAGCCATTGCATCACCAAGGCAGTGCCAGAACAGTCACAGCAGCAACATGTAAAAATTCTGCTAACCTGGGCAACATTATTAAAAAATTTCTGGGAGTATTTTAATTTGAAGTCATTTTTGGTGTTATTTACACAACAAAGAGTGTTTTGCAAGTTTTTAAAGCAGTAAAATGCATTTAAGACAGTTATTTTGTCTACCCCTTAACTTTCCACGTGAGGGGTGATGAAGCTGGGGCTACAAATGATTGGTGCACATATCAATAATTATAGTACCTGCAAAAACCATATATATAATGATAATACATTTTAAAACTTAAATTATAAATATACCAATATGAAACATAGAACTGAAAAAAAATAACTAAAATGAAAAAGAATACGAGAGAGGTTTACATGTTTATATGTAAACAAATTGACAAATTTATCTTTTGACAGAAATGAGAAATTAATATAAAAAAAACAGCTCTGTGAAATATAAACCAATGTGTCCTGAAAATGTGAAGGCCAATCCCAAGAAACAGTGACAACACAAATAAAAAATATTTAAAAAAAAAACTTCGATTAGTCTGAAGCTGTGTTGCAAATGGCGTTTCTTAAAAGGGGGATTACTGGTTTGGAAGAAGTTAATCTGCAAATGAAATTATCGCATATAAAGGGGCGTAATCGATATTAAACCAAAGTGAAAAATGTTTTTGTTTTTGGGGTTTTTTTAAAGGTAAATTTTGCTCTGGAAAAGATTTTGGCTTTATGTTTTGGAATATGTTCGTTTTCATTTTTACAGACAATTTCGGTTTACACCTCCATTTAAGATAGGATCGTAAGCATAAGATCCAGTGCGTTATTATGTTGTTTTTTCCGCATATGAAATAATGTTTACTTTTTGAAATGCATGTTTAAAAATGTTAGTTTTTAATAGAGTAACATTTAAACTTTTTTAGCAAGTTAAGGACACCCCTCCCCCTTCATAATTCTGTAGAAACTTGTTTTAGACTGTTTTAGACATAGGTATATTTATATAGAGTACCTATATATAAATGGTATAGACACATAATATTGTATAAATATTTGTTTTAATCTGAGAAAGTAAGCACGAAAAACACCCAGCTTTATATGCCGCTTTTAGGTATTTCGTTCTTTCACAAGATGCAGAATACGTCCTGGCATAGTACGTATAATACCGGATACACTTAAAACAAATTTATTGACGTGTATGAAAAAAATAGTTAAAGTTATAGTTTGAGGACTTTTAAAAGGTGTTATACCGTTCCGGGTGCGGTCCGAGGTCTATGGTAGTCTATGTAACGTTGAGGTTGAACGTTTGGATCATCAGGGCGAGCAGGAGATATAGCACGTGATCCACATGATTCAAGGTACTTTTCACATGCGCGTTGTGGACGGTCACTATATGGCTGTCTATGCGCATGCGTGTGATTGTAACAACGCGCGTGCCTATCAAAATATCTAAAATCCGGGGCCGGACTGGCTGGATGTAAACTAATATTGCCACTTCTATAGTCATTTTCATATAATTTATTGACTAGAGTAAATCCTTTCCTTAGTTCATCAATCGTTTCTCGGGCCCGACTTTCTGCTAGTGTCCTCACAGAGCCAGCACTCTTTATCCTCCGCGGAGTAGGCATTGCCGAGGATGAACGCGTTTTTGGTGGTAATGCGGAGGACGGTCTGCTCCGCGGTACAAATCCTTGCGGATATTTTGGCGGGACAGGATGCCGCCATGGACGATCTTGCAGACGAACAGACGAAGCGCTTTTAATCCTGCGTTGACCATGTTTAGGTTTCTGTATAACTTTTTCCATCTGTCCGCCAATGTCATACTCAACAAATGACTTGGGGTCATCTTCCGGGAGTAAATTAAAATTATCCTTCTCGCTTGGGCTTATAGCCTGATCCTTTACAGAATAATCTGCGAATAACTTATGTTTGTAGCCGTCTGCTATCCACTTAACATTCGTGTCAATCCTCATTTTTCAGTACATGTATTCCTCTTTAACAATTCTATTCCTCGACTTTGCCACTTAACAGTGGGATAAAACGTCTTTATTGATATATAAAGATAACATTTGTCGAATTCAAACAATAATTTCTTCAGATCCAAAACAGATAAAGAAAAAAAATCACTTAACGTTATAGAATATGCACACGTTATTATTTCAAATCTGGATTGTATATCGTCCGAGCCATATACAAATGACTTTGTTGTTTTTTCTTTACCACGGTTAATCGATCCAAACCGATTTCTGTATTTCTGAAAATGATTTATAGACTATCTAATCAGCCTGGTTTATCCGTGCTTCAGATATTGAATTACACGTAATTAGCAAGCCCATGAATAATAAATGAACAATCACAAAGATATCTGTCCACTACTCCGTGACACTCCAATGTTGACTTTAATGTATCACTTGAATCTATTAATTAAATGTTTTAGTTTACTTCTATATATCGACCAGTCAAACGAAACTGTAGAATTTACATTCAAATCATTATTTTAATGAAAACATTGAATACATGTGTATACATACATATGTATACATATTAGTTTATCACAAATGTCAGAATTTCTTTTAATTCATTCACAGTTTTGTAAAACTTTTCGTTTAGTTTATTTTCTCAGCTTATTTTCGCCAATACGCTAAAATCACGACGTTAAAATCTATAAATACGTTAAGGAACATTAAATGTGTGCAAGTGCATAAATGTTTTTCACCATAACTATAAACAGTCTCGAGATAGAGAGGTCGTCCGCTTTCTTAACCCTTAACTTGCTGGAAGTGGCCGGGCTTTGTTGCCTGTACAGCCAGGCCAGCCTACACACCCGTGAAGTCTGACTAGGCTCTATACATACTGTTGACTGACTAATTTCAAATTGACCCCTTGATACCCGTAACATTAATAATGGAATGTTCAAAAATGGAAGCTGCACAAGTCCATTTTGGAAATTCAGTAGGCTAAGTGTTTAGTATGCATATATACATGTATGACATCGTTTTAAAAGTTTCATATACCAAAAGTAAGCGTAAATATCGTAAAATATTGTGAAAAGAACTCGTGTAAATGTTAAAACGAATGATGGCCCCTCTTTTGCTGTGACATATAGCTTATAGAACTTGTATTATTCATGAGAAGACTTCATAATAAATGTTCATGTTTTTATACATTTAGTTATTTTTTGTATTTTAATACCAATGTAAATAATTCTAAATTAAACTGTTCGGAACAGACAAATATTTTTTTTAGTAATGACTTATTATTAGGCCCCAGCCCAAGGCACATCCCCCCTCCCCCATACCCTCCCAACAAAACTGCAATAGGAATTGTTAATGCACTGTCACAGGTTTACTATGTGACATTTTACATCCCGTGCCAAATTTTTAATTTGGAAAAAAAGGCCACATTCCTATTGGTATTCTACACGTGTTTGGTAGTGAAATTTATACATTTCAATAGCCTGCATTTGACTACAGCTGTATTTAGCGATAACGCTCTATGAAAAAGAAATAAATATATATGCAAAATGAATTTCCGCATTTTATCACAAAGTCAATACCCATGAGGTAATACACTCTCTCTTATTGCATATTAAATAAGAATTTGTAAATCTACTTTTAAAAACATTTCCCAATATGTTTCCCACAACCCTGACTCAATCGTAGCTTTCCTTTGTTTGCATTAAGCTTTAAACGCCCTTTTGAATGATTACTTCCAAGTAAATAATGTTGAAACGATAATTATGTTTGAGGTTCTTTTTTTATATTTAAATCTACTTGTAAAAATAACTTTAAAAGTAACTATTGAATGTTTAAACAAAGAATGACTGGCGCCATTAAACTCGAACCCTAGACTCCTTGCTCAGTGCGGTAGATATTGTTCAATAGAACCCACAAATAAATCCCACAATAGAACGTGAAAACAAAACCCCTTTATTTGAATTTAAATCATTAGGTATATAAAATACATGCAACTTGTCGTGTTAAACTTTAAAGTACGTATGCATTCAGAACCGTATTCGATACATTTTTTTAAAGTCTAATTTGGTCTAGCAGGAAATAATTCTGAAAGAAAGGATACAGTATTTTCTCCGTTAATTTCGATTATTCCATGTTATTTCAAGTAACCACCCTCGTTCGCACGTTCCATATTGATCAAAGTTTATTCCAATTCCACACGCGGCCATAAACAGCCACGTTTTATCCAATTTTTACTGATCATGTTTTTATCAAAAGACACTCTTCAAAATAAATATGAATTCATTTCAAGTGGGAAGAAAACTAAACAAACACTTGTAATTCATCAGGATGATAACGTTGTCTGTATACAGAAAAATTCAAAAATCCTTTACACAGTCTGATACTGTCAAAAAAGATATAAATTTCTTTGAACGAAAAATAATACGTCCTTTTTATTATGAAGTATTGAATACATGGTTAATCTTTAGTATACAATATAAACTATGTTGATCTTGGCTCCATTGTGTTTGTAACATAATATGAAAAGGGTTGTCCATTTGTATAGCATTGTAATTTTAAAATCGTTTAATATCCTCGGCGAATTTTTAATATAGGTATTAGCTTTAAGGTATCAAACGTTTGTTATATATCTTTAATATCTACATTGAATCAAAGTAAATAACAGTTATGAAAAGCAGTGTAACACGTTTCAATAATATCCCAATAATTTATATCTGAAATAGTTATTGAAACATGTATGCGAATGACATTACATTATCCATTGTAAAATGGTGACATTTTTGCAGGATGGATAAGCAATACTTTTAGTCTAATCTTGCTGGATTTGTTTTGAATTCGGAACAGTCTGTTATAACAATTTCAATATTAAAAGACAATAATTGAGCTACAAATGGTATAAAGCATAGTCAAACATACTGCACGAATGTGAAGGGTGACCTGGCTCTATACTGATCGTTGGCAAAGGATAGTCACTTTTGGATCAAGGGTTAATTGCTTGTGCTAAGTCAGTCTTTTTCTCTACTTTTTACATGTACAATCTATTTTATGTCCACCATAAAAAGGATATTATTGGAAAAAGGATGATATAACTAATTTATTGATTAAATAGACTAAAACAAAATGTCTCTTTACAAAATATACTTTTCTTTCCTTTCATTACAAAATAACTGCACGCGTATTTGATCCACATAACAGTAAGTGCATTATTTAATCCTGCATTTGCAACAAAATTTATGTAGTACATTCGGACATTCGGATGTATTCTTCTTGCATGGTATGACATCGCATCGCCCTTGTTTATATCACGTGACAATAAACATATTTCTACAAGAGACGTCTTCAAAAGCAACAACTTGAATTCATAGGACAATAATTGTTCCTAACTTTGGGACAGTGTAATATCTTTAAAATAAATAAATAACACTTAAATAGAGAACTACGCATACCGTATTTTGTTGATAACTTAAACGCAAACACAAAGATATTCACTTTATGACCGTTTCAAAGATAGCTTGATTTGTTTTATACATGTGATGGCTTTACGCATACTTTAATCAGTATTTCTGTGATTTATTGGTAAACGATTTATGACTTTTGTTTTCTTATGTCAGTACCACTATATCAACCCAATTTACTGTCAACTGTTTCCAAAGAGTGACTTATATAAATGGAAGGGACCAAGAGGCCACATTTGTCCCCAGATGTCGTATCTTCAACTTGTCCACATGTTTACAAATTAGCCATTGCTCGAGCTCACGACGATGAATTAAGTTAGTTGATAAATACATAGTACTAACTGTTGTAATTGATTGATTGATTAATTGATTTGCAAATGCTTTCATTTATTTATCTATTTTATATATTTATTTATTTATTTATATTCGTTCGTCCAATAGTTGGTTGGTTGGTTATTTGGTTGGTTCCTCCCTTCTTTCCTTCCTTCCTTCCTTCTTTCCTTCCTTCCTTCCTTCCTTCCTTCCTTCCTTCCTTCCTTCCTTCCTTCCTTCCTTCCTTCCTTCCTTCATTCATTCATTCATTCATTCCTTCCTATATTCATTCATTCACTTTGGTTTTTACTTTCATATAAATGTATCTATAATAATCAAAATGATTTATACCGTGTTGAATGTTGGATCAACCCTCTGAATGTTATTTTAAACCGTAATATCTACATTGTCTCCAATAATAGTATTAAGATTTATATAGCTTAAATCTAGACCCGCGGCGTGGAAGTCTCGTACTTTAGTCATAACACCTACCCCCAATACAATATTTCATTATAATCCAAGGTTAATTCATAAGATTCTGTGAAAGGGGAAAACGTGTAAATGTATACTCCCAAAGTAGGCGCTTAAATATTTACTTTTATTGTTTAAAAGGAAGATAATGCTTTGTAGAATTTAAAACATAACTGGAAGGGATTAACTCCCTTACTTGAAAAAAAAAATAATTTCTATGAATGAAAATTATAATGAACCCGTGACGATACACTGACGCCATGTTAAAAAAAGGAGTTGATACCCCAGAAAACGAACTCCATCGACGACAATAAATAAATAAATAAATAAATAAATAAATAAATAAATAAATAAATAAGTAAATAAATAAATAAATAAATAAATGAGATTTTTTATAATACATGCGATACGAAAATTTGACCAGAATGAATTTTGGAACGTCTTTTCTCTTACCTCTGGTTTCTGGAAATTAAATTTCATCTTTTTTATCGCATCCCCGCGTTCTTTGGTTACACAATGTTGGAACCATTGTATATTATTCTCTGTAATTCTAGAACGTGTCTTGAAAATTGGCATAGTGTGTCGTTTATTTACCTGTTAATTTTGAAATCATGTAATCATGTTTTTTTGCAATAAAAGGTAAACCAGTTATTTTACTATACACAACAAATCTTCTTTACCATTCTTTGTAGCAGAAATCGTGCAAAACACTCCCTTGTTTTGTCGATGTCGATTTGCTTACTGGAATCAAAGAGTCAGTCGTTTCATTTTTCCCCTTTTTTCTTTGTATTTCTTTTGTGAATAAATAAATAAATATCAAAGATTCATGGTTTCTACAAGCAGGTTCCTTTCAATTAGCGTCGCATCTTGTGTTTACTGCAAATTGCTATTCCTTTGACTCAATTAAATGAATTGAGTTACACTTTTGTATCCAGCTGCAAATCAGCCATATGACTGGTCACATGACACTTAATCCCTCATAATTGTCTACGACGTCTTCAGCTGCATCCTCCAAATTATATGTCACTCATAAACGTCCACCTTCTTGTTTATATTCCTCTCTTTCCTCTAAATTCCTTTCTTCCAAAATCCCCCAGTTTACTAAGAATCTAAGAATCAGTTTAACCTTGAAGTTTTTCTAGTGGAACAGAGCACGGTTGATAAATGATAAAAACATGTTTTGTCCAATAAAAATTTGGATGTAATTGTTAAAATTGTAGTTGTAGTTTTTCAAAAATGTGTAAGACATTTGTTGGAATAGAGGCAATTATGGAGGAAAGGCCCATGGAAACGACAAAATGAACCTATAAATATTATTGAGAAAAGCTTTTTCCCGCAATTATGGGCCATAAAACTGGAATTGGACACTTTGATTTTTAAAAAGTATTAAGTATTTGCAAATTGTATTTTATTGTTTGCTCAAACGGTTGAAAACGAATTAGTCATGACTGTATTACGGAGTAAATGGGCGAAAAGCCGCAAATAGGGAACTAACTGAAAGAACAATAAATGGCAAAGAAAAGAAGTTAAGACACTAAGTGCTTATTTAATTTTACCTCTTATTTGCACACCATTTTTATGACGTTTTATTTTTATTTCTGTTTGTTCTGTAAACAAAATGGACAATCGCTAGTTTACGAAAAATAGCATAACCGCGGTGACTGAAATAAATAATGTTTAACTGGACCATAACCAAACCAAGTTGTTCGAGCCTTTTATTGTACTTGTATAATCTGTTCAATGGAGAAGAAAAGGAAAAACAACGAGTTTTCCCTAAACTTTCTGTATTAGTCTTCATCAGGACCCTTGTTCACTAAGAGTTAAAGATCAGAATCAAGATAAGGATCGCATTAAAATTTCAGGTGTTCTCCATTTTTATCATTATTGAAAAAATATTAAATATTATCTTGAGGAATTGTACTTAAAAGCAAGTTTATGGAATTTTAGATTAAATTTATTGTCATTAAACAAGATATGGCCATTTTACAGTTGATCCAAATATTGGTTCCTGGCCATTAAATTTATTCTCATTTTGATCTGATTATTTTTGTAGTTGTTTTGTTATTTATCTGTATCATCCATTATCATCATCATCATCATCATCGTCGTCGTCGTCGTCGTCGTCGTCATCATCATCATCATCATCATCATTATCATCATCATCATCATCGTCGTCGTCGTCGTCGTCGTCGTCATCATCATCATCATCATCATCATTATCATCATCATCGTCGTCGTCGTCGTCGTCGTCATCATCATCATCATCATCATTATCATCATCATCATCATCATCATTATTGTTATTGTTATTGTTATTGTTATTATTATAAGCTTGTTTCTGTGAAAATCAGCATTTTTACGTACTATTTAATTTTAGGAAAATACGATCAATTTTAATTTTATAAAGCAATGAAAATAAAATCAGGATCATTTGATCCTTATCCTAATTTTTTTTATTATTGAACTATAAATTGCATCTATGTAACAACAGTTTTGTTGTTGTTATTGTTGTACTTGTATGAAATAGAAAACGTTATGTACATTTAAAAAAAAATATTGTTGACTTTTTAGGTTGCAGAACAAAAGAGAGAAATTTGAAGCAGCGTTTATTAAGTGAAAAGAATCTTAAATAAAAAAAAATCAATTAATTTACTTATAAATATATAACACATTTAGGAAATCTATTTAATATTCATATATGTTCTGTCCGCCATAAAGTAATAAACAAAGAGTGTATTTTTGACAGGCTTTTGATAAAAATGTCAAATATACGGTAATTCTGCAAGGTAAAGCATACAACATATTTCCTCATTTCAAAATTAATTAATTCCGGATTAAACGGTTTAATCTAGCGAAATAAGCATGTAATCTTATTATAATTAATTTAGTTTTTAAAATAAAAATCATGATTTGTTAAAAGTACTCAATGAAAAACAAAACCTCTCGTGAGAAGTATAAAAATGACCGTATAATGAATGCTTATTCATACAAGAAATGCCTACTTATTCATACTAGAAGAATGTTTGAAATTCTTGCAAACTGCTTAATCATGTGGGAACTTAAACCCAGGTATGTGTATGTGACAGCTGCAAGTGCTATTATGGTTTAAAGAGTTTTTATTTTGTCGTCCACCAGA